TGGGAGACTGCTATAATTGTTTGGTTTATTAGTACTTAATTTTGAATTTGTTGGTAGACTGATATAATAATTATGTAGTTAATATCGTTTAGATCCAACAGTTCGGCAATTAGTATCGCTTTATTGGGAGACTGCTATAATTGTTTGGTTTATTAGTACGTAATTTTTAAATTTGTTATACATGTACATGGTCACCCGTGAATAAGTTTCAGTTCACCGCTCAGGGCATTTATATCACAAAGTTTGTTTCATAAAACTGCTTGAGAAGCTGTAAAAACAGTCCGTAAATGCATTAATTACCTCATTGTCTACCAGTCCATACACCTATGTCACAGATGAATCTGTGTAGTGGCGTGTAGGACCCAGATAAAAACCCACGAGAGGCGAACCTACTCCTTGTCACGTACAAGCAGGGAATCGAAACCACGTCACTTGACTCAATGTCAGACCTTATGATCCAACGCACACGCGTTAACCATTCCGCCACGATCACAGCCAAGGAAAAGGTATATTTTAAGACGAAAACTTCTAAAGTGTCGTCATTACCTCCAAGCTTAATATAGACCAAATCTTGTTGAATATACAGTCAAGGAAAAGGTATATATTTAAAAAAAAAGAATACTTTTAAAGCGTTTTGAGTACCTCCAAGCTTAATATAGACCAAATCTTGCTGAATATACAGCCAAAGAAAAGTTATATATTTTAAGAAGAAAACTTCTAAAATGTTGTCACTACTTCCAAGCTTAATATAGACCAAATCTTGCTGAATATACAGCCAAGGAAAAGTTATATTTTTAAGAAAAAAAACTTTTAAAGTGCTGTGACTACCTCCAAGCTTAATATAGACTAAAACTCTCAGAATATAGAATTTGATACCGATTATTTTAATCTCGCAGTCAAGCAAAAAAAAACACATTTTAAGGAGAAATATCATCCCTTTTTTCCCTTTAATCAAGTAAACATTATTTATAACGTGTAGCCATTATGTAGGATTTGACTGTCACAGCAGAAAACATTAAAAATATATAATGTGATAAAGATTACTTCAATTTCACAGTCAAGTAAAAGCAAATTGTAAGAAACAAAATTAATTCCTCTTTTTTACCCTACAAATGCCTACAAATAAGTAAACATTATGTATGACGTGTAGCCATTATTAGAGGCAATTTATGCAGGATTTGACTGTAATAGTTGAAAACATGAAAAACATATATTTTTTTATTCAGAAATTGAAAGGGATTGAGAAACAGGCATAGCCTATATGACCTCTCTCATATAATTCAATATAGATTACTTCACTCCCAATGTCAAACAAAAATATATTTTGATAGTCAAAATTATCCATTTTTCCTCTACTCGTGTTGTGACGACCTACGAACAAATAAACGTTAATAAATAAATAAATCAACAACTAACTTGTCATACAAACAATAAACTCCTGAGCCGTGAGAATTAATAGGTGGTCACCTTTAAACTCACAGGCTTCACCTCGGGGTTACATTACATAAAAAAAAAACATTAAGGTTTTCACCCCAGGTTTAGCTTCATACAGTTTTTATGGCTGTATGATACATGAAGGTTAATATATTGTTAACCAGAAATAGTATTATTAATTTATTTTCATCTCTTAAAGGACATTTATAGTGCAAAATACAGTTGCTTCTGAAGTGATGTCATGGGGTTTTTTTGTTTTGTTTTTTGTTTTTTTGTATTTATCCTTTACTACATCAAATGTTTTTGTTCTTATTAATTATCTCCAACCTCGTGGGTTTTCTTCTGGTCCCCCAGTTTCCTTCCACTGCTAAAGACCCCTATATACGCGCAAGCGAATTATTGAAATAAGGTTGAACCATATGTTAGTCCCGAAATGACCTAGTTTGTGTCGAGTGCACATTTTGGGATGGAATAAGTTAATTTTTGAGTGGGTTTCATTTCCGATGTCCAAAAATATTTCGCATAAAAATATTTATTGTTTTCTTTTCACACGAGGATGATTCATTGAACGGAAATAATAATCCTTAAAAAATGCTTGAAGATCAAAGGTGATAAGATGTTTTAACTGAACCCTCCCTAATAATATGACAATCGTATACGTCTGAATGCAAAATGACTATTTTAGAAAAAAGTCCCACGACCGTGTTTATTCAAATTTGGGGTATGCGGATGTATCTCATATAGACGTATCTTTTTATTTATTAACTATTTATCTATACATATAATAAATCATGCGTAATCATGATTTTGCAAGACTTGGTGCACTATAAATAAGAGTTTCCACCTTAGAAACACACGCGCGGATGCTGGGTGTGCAAGGGTACGAAACCACCAGCCAACATTTTTTTTATAGATTTATGAAATAATGATTTAAATTGTGTGTTAACGTCTATTGATTTTTATGCGCGCCTTGCTCCGCTCGTCAGCTTGTTTTGTGTATCGTTTTATGTTGTTAAAGATGAAAGGTGCATGTCTCTGTGTTGAAAATAATGATAATATTTCTGAATGAAGAGGTTGATATTGAATAAAAGTTATGTCTCCAATAAAACGTAAAACGTAATTTACAAAATTAAAAGTTTTTACGTTCTTCCAGCTTTTCCCTTTACCGTTATAAATGCCTTTGGGCCTTTAAAAAATACTATATTGCCCCTCTCACTCCCCGTCCCCCTCCCTTCTCCCCTTATGTATTGAATACTTGCATACCGTTTCTACCTGCCACAAACATAGAAATTACAAAGGAACCTTAATAAGTGCAATTGTCTCTCTGCTCTTGGCACATACTATATTGCCCCCACTCCCTTCCCTTCACTTCACATGCAAGTATTGAATATCCACATAACTTCACTCCTGGCTAAAACAAAAGTTACAAACGAACCTTCAAAAATACAAATGTCTCTCTGCGCTCGGCAACACTCACCCCACCCCCTTCCTGTACCCGTGCCTGGAAAATGAAAGTACTGAATACTCGCATACTTTCTCTACCTGTCACAAACATAACAGTTATAAACGAAACTTTCAAAAATACAATTGTCTCTCTACGCTCGGCACCACCCACCCCACCCCCTTCCCATATCCGCGCCTGGAAAATGAAAGTATTGAATACTCGCCGCATACCTTCTCTACCTGCGTCAAACACTTGTACGGGTTGTGTATTGTCGAAGAGGAATTTTGATTGCTAAATAATGAGCGAGGGTTACCTACTATGTCTATTGTATGGAAATAAAAAGGTTGTAATTTTGTATGTAGTATTAGGTTGTTTCCCATGCTATAGCCAGTATTATGTTATGACACGTCGTAGACATGTTTATTATATGCTAATGATGTGTACAGGTGTGGCGGTTTCGCTTGGTACCCGGGTTGGCTCGGTACTCTATTTTCTTTAGTCACTAAAAAAACGCCATGTAAAATATGTGGATTGACTATATTATCCAGTCGTGAAACCATGGAAACGACTTTATATTAGGAGCAATGCTTGTTATTGTATCCATATATAGTAAACGTATATATCATTGACCCATTGAATAATAAATAGTGTTTAAAACTAAAACGCGACCTTTGCTTAGGAATTGTTTGCAAGTATAATAGTAGGCATACGTAATATATTACAAAGTACTCAATATCCCTAAGCAGACATAGTAATAGTAATAAAAAAGAGAAAAATACGTTGAGTACTTTATACTAATAAGAAACTATGGAATAGTTAAAACGCGGGGCAGGACGGAGGTCCTGTCAAGAACAGCTGTCTAGTCGTTCGGATGGAATTCGGTATAAGAGTAGGCCATAGTGCCGCTGCCCGGGCAAAATTCCCCTCATTACACACTGTATGGTGTATGCCCGTCTTCAGTAGCCCAGTCGAAGCAGACCAGTAGGACGTTAAACCCCATTTCATTTGAAACGCGGGGTGTCTTATTGTGCATCTTTAAAAGGTGCACAAAGAATCAAGCCAAATACGGTACTTAATCAAACCGCAACACCTATAGCGGTTTATAAAAATAGTTTCCATTTCTCAAGTGTGCCTAACGATTAACCACATAGAAATATGTCTCCGTGTAGTGTTCAATTTATACATGTTATTTACGAAGTAACAAACAGTTATCCGTGAAATTGTAACGCTATTCAGACAATGGATTGATAATAACAAATATTTATATATTTTTGTGTTATTTGGTAAATTGATTGTTAGAAATTTTAAATGTTATAACCATTAACTGTGGCTGTTACTGTGCTGGTTCATGTCTTTACCGTCAACTTCTTGATACTTGGGAGTGTATCTAGACACGTTATATCATCTTTAGGTAAAATAGTATATCACATCTGGTCCAACATAATTATATTTAATGACCATACATCTTAACTTATGTAATTATCACACATTTGAACTTATTTAATTATCGTATATTTAATAATCACACATCTTAACTTATGTAATTATCACATATTTGAACTTATGTAATTATCAAATAATTGAACTTATGTAATTATCACATATTTGAACATATTTAATTATCGCATATTAAAACTTATGTTGTTATTACATATTACATATTTTTTAACTTATATAATTATCACATGTATAAACATAATATATAATTACATGTATATTTGAACTTATATAATCACATATATCACATATTTGAACTTATATCTTTATCACTTATTTGAACCTAAATCATTATCACATATGTGAACTTATATAATTATATGTATCACATATGTGAACTTATGTAATTATCACATATTTGAACTTATATAATATCACATATGTGAACTTCTATAATCACATGTATCACATATTTGAACTCATGTAATTATCACATATTTTAATCTATATAATTATCACACATCTGAATTATTATATATTTCAACTTATGTAATTATCACATATGCAGAAATGAGTATAAACAAACAATAACAAAATTCAAACAGAAGACTTCACAGCCGCGATTTGACATTACTGCTTCTCCAGCCATTCTACAAGTAACAATACGTATTGATTTTTTTTTCAGTGTGCAATGAATATCAATTCAAGTGTGATATGGGAATGTGCATTAAAAACTATCAACAGTGTGATAAAATAGGAGACTGTCCAGATATCAGTGATGAAATGAACTGCAGTGAGTTATCTCCCTTTAATCTTCTAGTATTTCTGAAAGATATCCTTAATTTCTTAGTCAAAATTTACGTTTTTATTCAGGGAGAAATTTCCTTCGTGTCCATTTTCTTTAACCCGGTTTGTGCAGATAATTGGGATTTTAACCACAATTTTATTTCAATATTTTAATTCTGCCTCTTTCACGATTAGTTATATTTAAGGCCAAATTTATAAATGAATTGTGTTATTTTATTGCAGCTTGTCCCCTGGGTCAGTTTGCCTGTAACGACGGTAAATGTATCGTACCGGAATGGGTTTGTGATAACCAAAGAGATTGTTCACAAAATGAAGATGAAGCAAATTGTCGTAAGTACCGCTTGTTAAAAATATTGATAATTCAATTGTAAGATATAATAGATATGCTCCTGTGATGTCCGAGTTTCGAATTACCATAGATTAGACGACCCCCATCCAAATTTGCACGGAAATGTTGGGGCTATTCGGGAATGACTTTTGTGTTGCAAAAATAGTTCAAAAATAGATAATGGAAAATGAATATATTGAAAATTTCATTCAAATGGCTCAATTACTCTATTAGCCTTTGAAAGTTTGACAAAATGTGTGCATTTATTGTAACCACCGTAATGGTTTGTTCTAATCTACTTAACATCGGAGATATCTCATGGCATCGAGGGTTGATTATGATCTTGTTATGTTAATAAATGTCTAATTAATAGTTTATATAATATATAAGGCCTAAAGAAAGACCTGCAATAGACAGATTTAGCTCTTACATAATACCTGTTTAACTCTGTACCATCGGATAGTTAGAAATGAAATGAAATGAAATGGGGTTAACCGTCCTACTGTTCTGCTCCGAACTGGGCTAATGAAGACGGGCATACGCCATAAAGTGTGTTATGAGGACAATTTTTCCCGGACAGCGGCACTACGGCCTACTCTTATATTAAATTCCAACTGTCAAGGGATCTTTTACGTGCACGCCAATGTGTACACGGGACCTCGGTTTTTCGTCCCATCCGAACGACTAGACAGCTGCCCTTGTCAGGCCCTCCGTCCTGCATCACTGACAAGGGGGCGGGTGGTTAGGATATTAAATGGATTATATCATCCGTGCCATTTAATCGGTTTAATTATTAGTATTTTTTTTATATTTTAGCGTCGTGTGTTGATGGACAGTTTCGATGTTTAAGCGGGGAATGTATTTTGGCTAGTCACAGATGTGACGGAACACCACAATGTGCCGACCAATCCGATGAAAGACAGTGTAGTAAGTAATACTTTAAAGATAGTGGGCCACAGACTGGGGAGTCAGGCGGCTGGGATGGCCTAGTGGTCTAGATTGTCGCGCTTCGACTTCGCGGTAACCTCTGGTTTGCGGTTGTAGTTTCGATACCTGTATCACGGTTTCCTCCCACAGGAAAGGCCCCTGCGCGCTAAGGTAATAAAAATGAAAAATAAGACAACTTGTCTGCGATATAACCTTCGGTGGAGCGGACGTTAGACACTAAGAACACCAAAAGCAACTGGGAAGTCAGAACCTATTAGGGTGTTGTTTTGGAGGTTTGTTGTGAAGGGTGTTGGGGGTATATTTGAATTTTTTGAATCAACCTATCAGACGAAAGACAATGCTGTAAGTAATATAATGAGTTGCAGGCATAAATAATATAGTTTATTTGCAAATATATATAAGTATACGTGAATGCGAATCTTCTCCCCGTAGTATCTATAATATTCACAACTTGTGGTTGACCCGGCGTAGCAAGTTGCATAACCCCGAAACCGGAAGTGGAGGGCCATTGTTACCAGATCTATGTTACTTCCCGGTTATAGAGGAATATTTGTATTGTTACAGAGGAATATTTGTATAGTTACAGAGGAATATTTTTATAATACGTATAGTTACAGAATATTTTTATTATACTTATAGTTATCGAAGTTTCCGAATCATATCCATTCCTACTGAAATTTGACGATTGGTTACCAGTATGTGCCACTAACTTTACAGATGAATTGGCCGATCTTACTTGTAGAAAATTTGGAAACCTGTAAGTACCGCCCATTTTGTTTACAAAAACTCTTCCCTGTTGCACTGAAAACATTTGTATAACAATAAAACTAGATTTATTATAATTAAAGTAATCTGCCATTATCATTTGACAACTCCGGTAGTTTCGATTCCCCGGTTGTACGTGACAAGGAGTAGGGTCGCCTACATTTTGCCCGGACAGCGGCGCAATGGCCTATTCTTATATCGAATTCCAAATGCCACTTAGTGATCTTTTACGTGCGCGCCAATGTGTACACAGGACCTCGGCTTTTTGACCCATCCAAACGACTAGTCAGCCTTCCTTGTCAGGCCCTCCGTCCTGCACCACTGACAGGGAAAACCATGCTGGAAAATCCCGATAAATGGTCTCGACCAATACTGGAGCGAACCCGCTACCTACAGGCTAGCGAGCCTGTGTCTCCCCTGGTACGATGTACCAAGAAATTTTATCCAGTTTGAGTAGCTTAGACGATGTAGAGAAAGGGGGAGAGAGAGAGAGAGTGATCACGTCCACTAGACACAGTCTAGGTCATTTCGGGATAAACATAGTGTTCAATCTTATTTCAATAATTCTTTATTAGTGGACGGAAACCGTCGGCGGGGGGGGGGGGCGTCGTACGTAAAACCACTCCCCTATGCATAATATTAAAACGCTGTTGTCGATTGGTAAACCTCATCTATTAGTGTATAGCTGGTGTTGATTTTATCACGTATTTTTGTTTGTTACAGGGCGGCTGTTAATTGGTCTTCAACCGCTTACCCATATTATTTGTATGCTCACGTAGATCCAAATGGTGATACAACTTCTATTATTGGTAAAGTTACCTTAAGGTAATCAATAATTATCTATATGAAATAATGTTTATATACAACGAAATATTGCAACGCAAACATTTTGGTAAAGAGATAGCGTCAAAATATGCATAAGGCCTAAAAATAAAAACAATCCCTCCCACCCCCAAAAAAACAAATAGGTAAAGAGATAAAGTGTCAAAATATGCACAAGGCCTAAAAATAAAAATACCCCCGCCTCTGAAAAAAATAAAATGGGGTTGGTCGGTAGGAATATTACTGAGTAAGGTTTTGGAAAATACGTAAAGCTATGAGGATCGAAACCCTGTCACCCTGACAGACCTTATGTTGCAACGCACACGGGTTAACAAATCCCCCCACACACACACACACCACCACCACACACCCACACCCACACACAAACACACACACACACACACTACCACCACTAATTTCATTGTAATTCTATCTGGAAATGAAAGGAGATGGGATTTAACGTTCTAATTTTCTGCTCCATTGGGGATAAATAATGTACAATAATGATTAATAATTATACTGTAATGTAATATAATAATGTATGAATGTTATGATAATTACAAGAGTACCTGCCCTAATAATGTATGAATGTTATGATAATTACAGGAGTACCTGCCCTAATGACATGTGTGTATACGTTAATTGTGAACCTCGGGGTTGTGGTCAGAGGGCCAAAACTATGACTCAAACAATAGTAAATGGTGAAGATGCGTCCCCTGGTGTGTGGCCGTGGCAGATATCCATGCAGAGAATAGGAAAACATTACTGTGGTGGTTCGCTCATTAGTCCCAATTTTGTTGTTACGGCAGCACATTGTATAGAGTAAGTACCCAACAAACACATTACGTAAATATAATGTAAATATTACGTTGCTAATTCTTACAGAAATGAGGTAATGTTTAACAGTGGAATCAGCTGAGGGCTAGGTCAAAATTATAGTTTTGTTCTGATGTTCCTAAGCTGATAAATTTGAAAAATTTTGATACAGCGCCAAATACAGACTCTGGTGTAGAGACAAAGAGGTTAATTTATCATTATTTCCTATAATTTTCAGATTTATTAAATTCACGTACATATAATTTTCTTCCATTTTTCAGGCAGTATAAATTATAATTTAGTTTATTATTATTTTTTTCGATATTTTTTTTTTTGATGAAATAAACTGACTTTTCCTGTTTTCAGGCAATATAAATTGGAGTTCAGTTTTATAGACATTGTGTTAGGAGCTACAAAACTTGCAGCAAAAGAATCGATGCAGGTTAAAAGAAAGATCAAGAGATTAGTTTTACATAATCATATATTTCACGAAAGGAACGATATCGCACTGATACAGCTGAATCGTCCAGTGGAATATACCGATTATGTAAGACCTATATGTTTACCAGATGCTACTGAAAAATTTACTAGAAGTAACCAATGCTATGCAGTGGGATGGGGCATGAAAGCTTGGAACAGTAAGTATATTCAACACCTTTGATAGATGTTTCCGCGATGGTTCAGTGAGGGGGGGGGGTAACAGGGAATAGCGTGTAGTTTTTCGGAGCGAACAAAACCCCAATGCCATGTGCATACAAATTGGCGTGCGCGTACAAAAAAAACCATTGACAGTTGCAATTCGAAATAAGAGCAGACTGTAACGCCGCCGCTATACAGGAAAATTCCCCTCATAGCACACTGCATAACGTTTTCATTAGCCCGGATGGTGCAGACAATTAGGACATTAAACCCCATTGATTTCATAACTAAAGACATTTCAATTTCTTTCAGCTTCGTTTTCTAATCGACTTCAGCAAGCGAAGATGACTCTCTGGGACACGAAGAAGTGTAACAGTTCGCTAGCATGGAATGGTGCTGTTGGAGATACGTTTATATGTGCTGGCTACTACTCAGGTCTTATCTCTACTTGCAGTGTGAGTACTTTAACAATACTCAATGGTCTGAAAACTGCCAATTTTTAACAACAATTAAAGGGACAATAACACTCTTGCTGGCTTAACAGCTCCAGAAAATAAAAAATGGCCTTATTCTAAGTACTAGATGTGTTAGTGTCCTACCTGTTGTGTAAATTATCCATTAAATCCTATTTAAATCCAAGTCACATTTGAAAAGCTTTACGTCAGGCTTTTCAAATCATTTAGTTGAATTTTTCCAATTTTTTAAATTAGGTGTGTTAAGATGAAATTTGTATCATCAATTAATTGGAATATTGTAAAATAGTACAATTTGTTGACCAGAATAAAGATTGGGACATATTATTCAGTTACAACAAGAGTGGTATTGAGCCTTTAAAGTTACTAGATTGTGTGAAAACTGCCAATTTTAACAACAATTAGTGTTACTGGGTTGTCTGCAAACTGTCAAGTTACCGAACGTCTCGATGACAATGTGTTAGTTAAAGATCCCAGACAGTTGTAAAGCGAAATGAGATCAGATCGTAGCGCAGCTGTCCGAGCACTTTCGTATTTATTAAGCCGGGAATTTCGTACACAATTTTACTTCAATTAGTGTTAGTGGACTTTCTGAAAACTTCCAAATTAGTATTAGGATTTACATGTCAGCATCCACGTGGGCGTGGGCGTATGGTGGCCATGTTTTAAAGATCCCGGACACTTGTAGAGCGAAAGAAGATAAGATGGTAGCGCCGCTTTCCGGGCACTTTCGTATTTATTAAGCCTGGAATTTCGTAAATAGTTATAACATTGTCACCTCAAGTATTAAAATCTATCTTTATATATATATATATCAACAGGGTGATAGCGGCGGATCATTAGTCTGTCAGGCTAATGACTATAACTGGTATTTAGTCGGTATCTCCAGCTACGTGGCTAAAGGTTGTAATGTACCCGAACGTCCAGTCGTATTCTCGGATGCCCAGTTTTTCACACCGTGGATTCACAATCATACACGTAAGTAGTTTATATTCATTTTTAGCTAAAATATAATTGCACTATTTTACCGATGTTTTTGGTGAACAATCCATTTGCTGATTACACTATTTTGCCTTTACCGATTTTTTTTTTTAGGATTTCGAATTTTGTCTAATGGTTTGGATTGTTCGTACTTGGTTTTATTATATATCATATATCAGAGATTCTGATGCTGTAAACCATTATAATAATATGTTTAATTCCTTTAAATCCTATCATATTAAGGATGTAATTGATGAATATTTCTTATCATTAAGGATTTTCAAGAGTATTATCATTGATATTAAGTATTTGGGATTTGTGATATTGATAGTAGTTATTAAAGATTTTTAATGGTATTATCATTAATGATTCGGGATTTTTTTATGATTGATGATGTTAATGGTGGTAGTTATTGTATTATTAATGGTTTTATTTACCTTTTGTATGATACTATTAATGATATTTACCTTTTGTATGATATTATTAATGATATTTACCTTTTCGTATAATATCATTAATGGTAGTTATAGTTTTGTTATTAATAGTATTATTGTTAATGTCATTAATGGTATTAATTATGATACTAATATGATGTTAATGATATTTACTTTTCGTATGTTATCATTAATGGTAGTTATAGTTTTGTTATTAATAGTATTATTGCTAATGTCATTAATGTTATTAATTATGATACAAATGGTATTATTGTTAGTGTCATTAATACTATTAATTATGATACAAATGGTATTATTGTTAGTGTAATTAATGATATTAATTATGATACAAGTGGTATTATTATTATTATTGGTGATATTTACTGATGTTATTTCAGAATGTATATTTACATGTGGTAATGGTCATTGTATATATGATGTCAATCAGTTGTGTAATCGGGAGAATGACTGTGGTGATAATTCGGATGAAATTAAACCATGTCGTAAGTATACAATATTGCATTGCTTTCGTAAACATGTCCAATACAAGACAAATCCAATTTAAGAATTATCATTAAAGACAATGTTGATTTTATAAAAACACAACTTAATAGATCCACACAACTTCCCAATATTCAATAATTATTTTTTAACTAAAAATTGTAATTTCCATAAAATAGTGTCGATTTGGTTCAAACTTCACCCGACAAAGAAACACCACAGTTGAGTTATTGTTATCAAGATTCATGTTGTCGCCCATGACGTTTTTAAAATATATTTATTAATTCTATTTTATCCTAGATGTTACTGTAAACTGTACGTTTGACGACCCGTTCCTGTGTGGTTATGACGTCAACTGGGATCGTCTGAGTGCTACGGATTTTGTTAATCATTATCCCCTTTATGATCATACAATAGGATCCTATCCAGGTTTGTACATTAAATATGCATTATACAAGAGCTAAATCTGCCTATTGCAGGGCTTTCTTTAGGCCTGAAATGTCATATAAACATTAATTAACTTACCTAGCCTAAAATTGAATCGCTAATATTTACGCTCAGAGGGAAGCAATTTGACTGAAATTTGCAGCATAGTTTGTTTTCTATTTTTTTAACTGTCAGCTCTTTCTCTAATCTTACCTAGTTCCCCTTTAATAATCATTACAGATTTACTAGGCCATGTAAAAAATATTATGTTTCTCGGATACTTCCGTGTCACTTAAAAACCACCTCATTAATTATCGTACATTTATATATTCTCCCAGTTACAGGAAGTGACATTTCCTTTTGAAACCGGAAGGCTAAATTATCAAGTGTTATTGAATAAACTAAATGACTAGCGGATGACCCGGTGCTACACGGGTTGAAAGTAGTATAGCTCCGAAACCGGAAGCGGTAGTCAATGTTACTCCCCGGTCCGAGCTACCCCCATACACAAAATTTCAGTCTCAGGACAGCCCTAGTGTAGCCGCCAACCCTGAACAGACAAACGGACACGAAAACGACAGTCACAAATATCAGTATAGATGATAATGGATAATCGTGGCGTTCTATTAACCCAAATGTAGCTATCATTTGACTATAAAGAGACAAGTGATCATTTGACAATAGAAATAAAAGAAAATAAAAACATGTATTTTTACGTTGTCCATTTTAGGTTTTTATATGGTGGGTAGAGCTCGTGGACTACTGTTGACCACGCCTCGATTTACAGCCCAAGCCAACACGTGTCTTCGGTTTTTCTACCATATGAGAGGTGATATCGCTGGTGGTATTCAAGTCTGGTTCAACCAGTATTTCCCTAATGGCACTGATACATGGGAACCCGTGTACAAGAAGAAAGACGTCACAATGCCGGATAAATGGCAGATGGGACAATTCGATCTTAAAGATGGCGAATTCGAGATAGTTTTCCTGACCAATGTAGCTAGCAGGGTGGCCATTGATGACGTGATGATACTGAACCAATCATGTGCATCTGCTGGTGAGTTTCTTCTCTTTTATCAAGCATGTGCAGAACGGAGGGCCTGACAAGGACAGCTGTCTAGTCCTTCAGATGAGACGAAAAGTCGTGATCCCATATATACATTGGAATGCACGTAAAAGATCCCTTGGCAGTTGGAATTCGATATAAGAGTAGGCGATAGTGCCGCTGTCCGGGCAAAATTTCCCTCATAGCACACTGTATGTCGTATGCCCGTCTTCATTAGCCCAGTATAGGAGCAGACCAGTAGGACGTTAAACCCCATTTCATTTCATTTCATTTTATAAAGCATGACGAATTTAAAGTGTAATCCCGCTCAACGACCACCTGATTATTACGCGACACTCACATATAAGGCCGTATTTTGAAAAGGCGCATCAAATATGTATCCTTGTATCCAAACGCCATATAAAGACCTCTACATTATTATTTATAGTAGTCCCCGAAGTGGTCTTAATGGTGGGATTTCACTGATGATTCTATACATAAAATAAGTGCAGCATTCTTTGCGTCATTAGTTTGGAGTTTTTGCGACCCCTTGAGTGTTTGCACCTCTCTCCAATGGAAACCAACCACTGGGTTTTCAACACTCAAATCATAATACTCAACTAGTGACAAATATATACGGAGAGACCGCATCAAATAGTAGCAGATCTAATTTGTTTTAGCGGATCTAGGCTATAATAGTATATATTGTTGTAAATTGTAGGTTGTTCATCAGATGAGATGCAGTGTGGTACCGGAATAGATAAACAATGTATAGATAAGCGATCCAGATGTAATCTGGTTACAGATTGTGCTCGGGATGAGGATGAAGTTAATTGTGTTGGTATGTATACTCTAGAAGATGTGAATCACAACATACACATGACATAATATTCAAAGTTCCAGCCATGCTGTAATGTTCAGGGTGGACAGGGCTAGCACATGTAAAGGCACCATGAAACTTACGAATAATATTAAATTCATACACAAGGAGGTTATATTTTACAATGTTTCAAAATCTAATTATTATTGTGATTTTAATAATCCAATTTTATGTAGATTATTAAATTAACATATTATATTTTACAGTTTTTCGAGATCCAGTTGTATTAATTAACGGTGTATTATATTTTACAGGATCTAGTTATTATTGTGATTTTAATAATCCAGTTTTATGTGGACTTCAACAAGTTACAACAGATAATGAACTGGTAGAATGGAGAGTTGTTAATTCCTCTAAAACACCAGGGGCTTTCCAAGACCATTCATACACTGAAACAGGTAACATTTCATCTGTAAACATATGTTAATTTATTCAAAAATGTTAATTTATGCAAATATAGGCTAATTTATGCACAATCAAAAAGCGGGTGTGGCAGTAATCAGCTTGCTAAATCAATTGCAAAAGTTATATAATTATGTAAAAAATTGTTTTTTTGATGTATGCAAATATGTGCTAATTTATTCAAAAATATGCTAATTTATGCTATTTTGTCATTGGTTATTTTTTTATTTTATTATAGGTAATATGTTAGTGATGGAGACTAGGTCATTATTAAAAGATAAAGAAGTTTCTATGACTCAGTCGTTATATCTTGGTGGAGAAGCACATTGCTTCCAGTTCTATTATTATTCTGATACAACTGGTACATTAGAGGTAAGAACACGTTAACTTTATGATTTAATACTGGATTAAACAATTTCACTATTCGAATGGCGTGAACATTAGAGGTAAGCACAAGTTAGCTTTATGATTAAAACTGGAGTTAAACTTTTAAACATTTGGTCTAGTATTTGTCTCCCATGGGATGTGTTCTAATATCAATGAAATCAAATATTATCCCAAAATAAACAAAAACTTGGCGGAGAAACTCATTGTGTCCAGTTTTTATTATAATTTGACACAACAGGTACATTAGAGGTAAAGACACTAACAGCTGAAATTATGTCTATTATTTGATTCTTATGACAAAAAGATCATGAATTTTTTTATTTGAAAAATTTATAGTTTTTAGAAATATGAAAATGTACTGAAAATGGCCATAAAATAGATCATTTCAGTTGGATCGAATATTCTGTGGTCTGATTCCACGTTAAATGAAGTTAGAGTAACGTATAGTGTTCATAATAACACAACTTTATGGATTTACTACTTCTTGGTTTATTACATGCAACGTTTTAATACTCTTACAGGTATCTTTATCAAGCAATGATAACATATTATGTATTTATTTTCAAACAGGTCAGTTATAAAGAAGCTAACTCTACTGTGAAAAACATTTTATGGGTCGTGTCTAATAGAATCACACTTGGCTGGGCAAAAACACAGTTTTCTCTACCAGCTTTAGATACCATACATCTTACATACAATATGATTGGAGGAAATTTCGATGGCACTTACAGACCTTTCCTCGCATTGGATGATTTAAATATTACAAGAGGACAGTGTCCTGCATTTGGTACGTATACCTGGTTAATTACTTTAATCTGACCCTCCATCGGTGAACTGTATTAATTCATTGCCAAGACATAAACAAGCCTTTTTTCTTTGTTAACAAAAGGCCCTACAGCTGACCCTTGTGGAACACCTCTTATAAACCGAGTCTCTTGTTATTACAGAATGTGGTGCTGGCCTTGTAGCTTGTTCAGAAGAGAATTATTGCTTACCAGAAACTAGTTATTGTAATAGAAAGGTTGATTGTGCTGGTGGTAGTGACGAGGTATCTTGTGGTAAGTAGAACATTCAGAACACTTCGGATGATTTGAGACGAACGTGTAATATAGATCACCAACACCAAAACTACAACCATATTACATGTTCGTCTCTCCTTGGCAGTATTCAAATTACGTTTTAGAGAGACAACTGTCGAGTAAATTGAAGTCGCACGGTCTTTGAAGAAGTTGGCTATTTACGCCACATATATTCCCCCTTATTTGACCACTTGTTTTTTTTTTCAGTGTGTAAAAGTACAGAGTATAAATGTCCTGGTGGACCGTGTATAGATAGATCATTAACATGTGATCGAGTCTACCACTGTGCTGATCATAGTGATGAAGGAGACATCTGCGGTAAATAAAACATTAAATTATTTACACAAGTTTTCTCTTGTATTGATATCGATTTTGTAAAGTGAAATGGAACATTTACTGTTTTCATTGTTTGAAGTCGGATATGTTCATTTGAAACTTTTGGGATGTTTTAAACCCCAGCTTGCCAGAATAACGCGATTAGTACCATACACAAGAACAACTACTTTTATTTTTAAACATAAACATTTTGATCTAAAATCAATCAATTTTTACCTAAATTTATAAACAATATAGGACGTTGAACCTCATTTCTTAGTCGGGGGGTTAGATGGCTGAATGGTTTGCATGTACGCGCTGTATCATAAAGTCTGTCATTGAGTCAACTGGCGGTTGTACGTGACAAGGAGTGGGTTTTCTCCGGGTCCTCCGGTTTCCTCCCACTCCTAAAGATCCCTACGAGCAAACGAATTATGGAAATAAAATTGAACCATATGTTAGTCCCGAAATGACCTAGTCTGTGTCGAGTGGACGTTAAACCCCATTTCTCTCTCTCTCTCTTTCTCTCTCTCTATCTCTCTCTCTATCTCTCTCTATCTCTCTCTCTCTCTCATTTCTTAGTCTTTTCTTGCGATTATTTGATGGTAAAATGACTTTTCTGTTACAGATCCCTTCAGGAAAGTCTCCTGTGATTTTGAACACCCGTTTTTATGTGGTTATCGTTTTCAATCAACGGATTACAAATGGCGGCGATACTTTGGTAAAACAACTACGTTTGGTACCGGTCCCACAGCGGATCATACTTACAAAAATATATCAGGTAGGACATTAACAATTGTGATTTGGGTGGCTGAATGTTCTAACTCGCGTGTCTCAAATGATAAGGTCTGTCATTGGGTCAAGTGTCGTGGTTTAGATGCCATACTTGTACGTAACAAGGAGTAGTTCCACCTGCCTAACTAGGTTTTCCTCCTCTACGTCGTAGCGAATTATTCAAATAAAATTGTACAATTAGCGTATAAAAAACTCTGGCAGTTGAAAATCGATGACGAGTAGGCGTAGAGAGTCCAAATTTCCCCCATAGCACACTGTATGGTATATGCCCGTCTTTGTTAGCCCAGTCGGTGCAGAACAGTAGCCCGTTAAAATACATTACATTTTATTTATTTCTGTGTTTGTTTTCAGGGCATTATGTGTACGCAGATGGATCAGAAGGGCGATATTCAGCCCTAACTTACGCAGAATCTCCAAGATTTAACGCGACAGGCAAATCACTGAGTTTCTACTATCACCTGTTCAGTATCCTAGCAACCTTTAATTCGAACACGGGCAGCTTAATGTTAATCGTCAAAGACTATGATTTAGGACAAAATTATACACTACTAGCGGAAGTTCCTACTCAAGAAAAAAAATGGAAATACGCGTGTGTTGATCTGCCGCCATCAGATGATATTTCGTTAGTTTTTGTTGCTCAGCGTGGTGATGACCTGTTAGCAGACGACAAGGCCATTGATGACATCGTTTTACAAGATGGCAAATGCAAAATTAGGGGTAAGTGCAGATCTCAATTTTTTTTTCTCTTCGTTCCCGTCTTCATTAGCCCAGTCGGAGCAGAACAGTAGGACGTTAAACTCCATTTCATTTCATTTCTCTTCGTTCGTTTGTTCGTTGTTTCGTATGACTTAACATCCGCTTTAACCCAGGTTTTTTGTCTCCAAATCTTTGTCTGGAACAAGGCAAGTGTTTCGCTGTGTATGTTTGTGTCTATCTAAAGACAACAAACGATCCACTGAATTTCGACTTTACGGGGTTTGGCTGTACTTTCTAAACTTTTAGTGATCAGTATTTTAGTAAACCGAATTTCTACAAACCAGAAGAGGCAGTGCGCATGCTTGTCGCCCTTAAAGAGCGGAACAGGAAGGAAGCTGGTTTGTCCTATCCATTACATCTTTAAAACTACTAATATATAACTCAATATATAACTATAATTTAAGCAAATTTTCTTATTTTATTTTAGGAGTCACTGGAGAAACTAGTCCACCTTTATTGATAGGTAAATACAAACCCAGTCTTGTCACATTAAATAGAAACTCAATCTTGTCACATTAAATATGAATCAATTGAATAGGATAACAGGCACGCTCAGACGAATTTTGTTCAAATTTTATTTCAGCTCTCTGCCAATCTGATTAAAGTACAGATCTATATTTCGTTTCGTTTTTTATACTTTCGATGGCTTCTACTACATGAAGATCTGACTGGTTGTATTGGAAGGTCGCGTCAGAGGTCATACGAGAGGTTTTGGACCTATGACGTCAGACATTTGATTAACCAACCAGCATTGATGTTTCTAGTGGGTTACCCACAGTTCCATACACCTCAGGCCAAAAACTCGCCTTAACAGACTGTTTTATTGGTTAATCCCTCACATCATCCAGAACACGGCCTATATAACAACTCTCCCAGATCCTAGCGCAGTAAAGACAAGTAAAACGAAATTCGGTACTATAAAAAAGGAAACGAAATAGGATCTGTGTTTTAATCATATTGGCTCTCTGCTGATTTAAGGAGTTAAATCTTACCATGTTTTTCCGCAAGATTTTTATGGATATAAGGATGTGATTTTTTATTCGTAGCTCTACGCCCTTTAAGTACGTAAAATGTCAAATGAGATTCTTCACAGTAACCAAAGAATAGGCTACAATTTGATGATACTCATTTCTTGTGCAAGAATATAAAAAAAAGTGCTTATATAATGACCCCGTAATATAAAGACAGTAATCTCTAATAATTACATGCTAAACGCCGAGTCCCATTTTGTTATCAAGTCAACTTAAATAATAAATAAAATTATTTTTATTTTAGACACAACTCCAACGTAGAGTAGACATGAAAAACGGATATTAAATGTGAGTATTTTTTTCTTTTTTCTGTTTTAAAAGATACTTCCATAAAACACCCATAACTCGAGCCTTGGAGGTGAACGGCAATACTATATACCGGAAAACAACGGAAAACAACAGGAAAACAACATTTTATATTGAATACTTGAAAACACCGGAAAAACACTAAATACCGGAAAACTTACTAAATACCGGAAAATACCCTAAATAGGTAACCCGGAGACTGGCAACCTAAACAGGTAACAGGGAGCCTGGTCCTATGTGTGCCTGGGTTAGGGTTAGGGTTAGGGTTAGTTTCCGGTTTATAGTATAGCCCTTCTCCGGGTTACCTATTTAGGTCGGTTTCCGGTATTTAGTGTATTTTCCGGTATTTAGTGTTTTTCGGTATTCAGTATAACATGGTGTTTTCCGGTAGTTTTCCGGTGTTTTCCGGTAGTTTTCCGGTTGTTTTCCAGTTTTTGTCGGTGTTTTCCGGTATATAGTATAGCCCGAGGTGAAGCTTACTGAACTTCAATAGTTCATAGTCAACATATGGACGTGGTAGTCAAGTAGCCAGGGCACTTGACTCTCGAGCAGACCCTTCGGGGGTCTTTTAAACCAGGCCTTCACTTGCCAAGGGTTTTGCTTGCGGAAATAACAAGGATAGTGTACCTAATCGTTCGGAAATGAAATGAAATGAAATGGGGTTTAACGTCCTACTGTTCTGCTCCGAACTGGGCTAATGAAGACGAGCATACGCCATCCAGTGTGCTATGAGGGAAAGTTTGCCCTTGCAGCAGCACTATCGCCTATTCTTATATCGAATTCCAACTGCCAAGGGATCTTTTACGTGCATTCCGATGTATACACGGGACCTCGGATTTTCGTCTCATCCGAAGGACTAGACAGCTGTCCTTGTCAGACCCTCCGTTCTGCACCACTGACAAGGGGAAACCACGTCGGAAACTAATCGTTCGGGTTGGACGAAAAATTTGTTTGTCTCAAAATGACCGAAATATTGCGTGGATAAGACGTTAAACTCCCTTTCATTCCGAAACAGAAGCAGTAAAGTAGGCTATAGTGTAAGTAACTTGCATGAATCGTTTCCTTGGTCACGGTAAAACTTTGCTTGACAACCCTGCCCCCAGGGAAAAACCCTTCTATCTCGCATAGCATACGTCTCGTTTTGAACACGTAACCATAGATATACAAATTTTCAAAATGACCGAAGTATGATGTTGATAAGACATTAATCTCCATTTCTTTCTGACACAAAAGCAGTAAAGTAATGTATAAATAACCTGCACAAATCGTTTCAAATACTATTTCCAGAGTCTTAATAGAACTTTGCTTATAGAATTAATTTGTTATTCCAGGTTGTCACAGTAACCAAAGAGTAGGCTAGAATTTATTGATACTCATTTGATGTGTGAGAATATAAAAAAGTGCTTATGTAATGAACACCTAATATAAAGGAAGAGATCTCTAATATTTACTACGTATATAAATAACCACAATAACGCCATATTTGTGTATCAGGAACTGGCCCCAAAATGTTACTAATTGTGGTTCTTCTTTAGGGGGCGATGCTCTTCGAAAAAAATCACAGCCTCCGTCAATCCAAGTAAGATCGGCATGATATTCTTCCTTGGACGATTGACGGACTTCGATTTTTGATGTGACGTCATAACTCCAAGATGGCTGTGATGACGTCATATTGGGTCTCTGGTCCACAATCGGTAATATTTGTTTATTTTAAATATGCCGATGAGATTAACAACAAAACCATAAATTCTTATTAATCTTTGCGGTTGTTTTAAAAGCTGTTGTTTCAGTCTATTTAATTCTTCCAGTAGCTTTTGACTGGATCATAATTATGTGTCTCACTTATTAACGTTGACGATATATACCGAACTACTTACACTGGAGGTAAGAGACATCATAGACTCTTGCCCCCAGTCTTAACTAACGGTGCCATATAAGGGTATAGAGGTTTCACCACAATGTGTTATATATTAATAATGGTGCTGAATATGATTATATATTAGTACGTAATTCAGGGTTGTGTGTTTAATGTTGTTATATATATATACTAAAATATTTCGTTACGTAAATTCCTGGCTGCAAGGAATCAAATGGAGGATCTAGAACACACCTGGCCCCCGAATTCACAAAGCGTTTTCAGACTTACGTTAAGAATTTACTCAACTTCCAATCACTGTTCATGAGCAATATGATGTATTTGAACCAGTAGACACCAGTGATTACTCAATTGGAATGGCTTTTCGCGTTTTCTTAGTGTGCTGTTCCAAATTTCACGGCACGCTTAGGAAGATCTGGTTGAGAATCACTGCATTAAAGCAACAAAAGTTTTATAAAGGGCTATATTTTAGCTAAATAAGGTGAACAGTCTGAGAATACTTTGTGACCTTGGGGCCTGGTTACCTAAGGTTACGGTTGGTAATTTGATCACTTGTGTTCCACATCCTCCAAATTATTAAATAAAATAAAAAGCTTGTAAGCCTATCCTTAGTGAAATATTACCATTGTAGTTCATTTTTACGAATTTTATCTGTAGTTAATCATATTAAATAATTCATTTTTTTGAACGGCAGGCCGTTTTATTCACAAGTTTACTTTTTGTAATCTTTTGTAACAGTTTAGATTAATTTCCAACGATTTAACCATTAACTGAGATTAACCTATCCAATTTGATTAAAACACAGATCCTATTTCGTTTCGGTTTTTTTTTATAGTTCAAAATTTCGTTTAACTTGTCTTTACTACATTAATTTAGTATAAAAAAACGAAACGAAATTAAGATCTGTATTTTGATCAGATTGTTAATCTATCTTAAGAAAAGTTGAGGGGAAAATGATATCGTTTAGAACAATGTTATGGGCTAAAATTTAACATACTTATAATAAATCGTTATTTTAATAAATATTTATAATGAATAAGAATCAATAGTTATATTCCTTTATATTCAAGGATTTTTATATTCAAAGATTTTAAATTTAAGTCTGGCTTACCATCACAGTTCTAATGTTATAAATTTATATTTGAGTAACTGTTTTAGAACTCATATTTTAGTGGATATTTTAGGATAAATTTGCTGTCTTCGTATACTCGTTTAATGTATTCAAAACGTTTTATGACTGACTTAAAATCACTGTATTTCAGTAAATATTGTAGAACTCATGTTTTAGGATCAATTTGTTGTTTTACTGTACTCTTTGTATGTATTCAAAACGTTTTAAGACTGACTTAAAATCACTGTATTTGTTTTAGTAGATATTTTAATTATTAGGAACAATTTGCTGTCTTCCTTTACTCATTTAATGTATTCAAACCGTTTTAAGACTGACTTAAAATCCCTGTATTGTTTTTATGAATTTCTATAGTTGTGATTTGTTTATATTTGTGTGTTGTTTGTATATATTTAATATCTATTTATAAGTGTATGTTTTCTTATCCAATGTGTTCTTATTACTACTTATTGATTAGCATTTTTCTGACAAACGTATTCTATGGTTCAATACTCTGTGAATCTTTGTGCTAGCGAATGCAATGCCATATAATACGACTTTCTAATGCTCTAAAACCTTCAGTATATGTACAAGTCGCAATTCTGTGGAATACAATTACTGCTTATTGCGTGATAATGAATGACTAGTCGAAACGTCACTCAGTAATAAGCAGTATATTGTATTCCCTAGAATTGTCACCTGTATATTCCAGTTCAATTACTTATTGCCAATCAAACAAGTCTTCAGTATATGGTTAAACTATACCGCGAGTTCACTTTAGCGAAACCATAGTATAGTTAGTTTATTAAAGGCCTATCTGGTCTCCTGTTTCAAAATCCACGAACCTGTGAACCAACGAATGATGCGTTTTATAGTACTTCTTCATAATACCCAGTATAGGATAGTTCTTTTCGGAACCAACCGTCTGGTCTTTGGCTTAAAATCATGGAACCAGCAAATTAAATACTGTATTGGACTGCTTCCTAATACGTGAGTTTAAACATCACTACATCCAGGCCGCATTGTAAATCATATTTACGATTTTTTAAAATATAGGAATTTTGATTTAATAACGATCGTGTCATAAATTGTTTTCATATTTACGATTTTTAAATATGTGGGTAGCTAAATCTGCCACAGTATGTCCCAACTACGAACCCAGAGAAAAACAATCTCTATATATTTAACATTTTTAATTAATGTTTTTTGAAAATATGTTTTGTATATATTAAATCTTGAGTATAAAATCATGACACCATTGTCCAGGCCACAGCGTTTGGAAATTGAAATTTACCCCTCTTTCACGCCAAACCGTTATATCTACTTTCGATTTGTTTTGCTCAATGTAATTTTGAAAACAAAAATGTAACATTTACATTATCAATACTTAAACAGGCATTATTCAAAAGCTAAATCTGCCTATTGCAGATCTTTCTTTAGGCCTGAAATGTTACTTGAATTAATTAGACATTAATTAATTTAGTAGATTTTTTTACGATTTCTGGTAGATGAAGTAACCGTAAAAGTGGATAATCGAGACTTTGTTTGTTATCGTGACAAACAACGATAGTAATGACAATCGGGGCTAGATATAATTGTATCGCCGATAGCTTGGCTGCAAGTGAAGTAATTTGACTGAAATTTTCAGCATATTCTCTTTTCATTATCTATTTGTTTAACTATTATATCGAGAACTGTCAGATCTTTATCTAATCTTCCATAATGCCTGTTTAAGTTAAGCCAAGTAGATAACAATTAAACGTGTTTGGGTCTAATATTTAATTGTTTGCAAAAGAGATTGACCTTCTTGCCATTAATGTTGACAACGACTCATTCTTGCTTGCTCAATTTAATTTTTAAAAAGTTTAAAAATTAGATTATGTATTAAATATGTTTCGGTTGTTTTAAGTATCGAATACTTTGTTTTAATCTAATAATGTAGACAATGATCCATTCCTTCTTTAGAATTATTTCTATTCGTGTTCTTTTAGAAAAAATAATGTATGTTTTGTTAACGTTTTAGGAAATAGAATCTGGAAATGCCAATCCAATACCTAAGAAATCCACCAATCTGATTAAAACACAGATCCTATTTCGTTTCATTTTTTATAGTTCAAAATTTCGTTTCACTTGTCTTCACAACACTAGGTAGAGGCCATCGAAAGTATTAAAAAAAAACGAAACGAAATATAGATCTGTATTTTAATCAGATTGGAAATCCACAAGACGTCGCACTTTGTTTCTCTCGGACTATTTCATATCCATAATACTCTTATTAACCCTTTGGCATTTAGACCGAAACTACTGCCGTTTCCTCTAGCGCCACGAACCGCCAGAGCTATTTAAGGACCGATTTTGTGACTTGGACGGTTTGAAACGATCTAGGGAGAGTATAGTTTTAAACGCCTTCGAAAATAAGATACAGATATTTTTTTGAAAATCCTCATTTTTCTCCAATTCTTACAGGGAACTGGTGTAGTCACTATTTACAGGTACCAGTTTCTAAAGGGTTAATCACGACACCGCCAAATTGGGTAGTCACTATTTACATGTACGAGTTTCTAAAGGGTTAATCACGACACCGCTAAATGGGGTAGTCAATACTTACATGTACCATGTGCGAAAGGGTTAATGAGAGCAATTGGTCAATATCATATTGTGCTCATATTTTGTTTTTTTATTTTATCAATTTGGCATCAGCCATGACTTCACCTTTTTTCATTAAAAGGGATAGTCAATATTTACATGTACCGAGCGCTAAAGGGTTAATATCATATTTTGTTTTTTATTTCATCAATTTGGCATCCTCCATGACTTTACTCCACTTTTTCTCTATTGGTGCTTGTATATATATGATGTATATATATGTAAATATTTTGTATATAGACCATTATGTATATATATGCTTCAATTATTTATATTAATGTATAGATACACTGTGTATATATACGGATATTGTATCTATTACTGAATAAAATATTAATCACATTTTTATCCTGGTGAAGTGTTTGTGTTATTCTTTGTTTTTCTAAAAAAAAAAAAGAAAAAAAAGATTCACATTTGGTTTTGCAAAAGTAACAGAAATATCCCATAGAGCAAAATATCGATGCTACGGTCATAGCTTTATTAGTTACTTTAGTAACGAAGTCTTAGAGAAGCTGAAAATGAAATGAAATGAAATGGGGTTTAACGTCCTACTGTTCTGCTCCTATACTGGGCTAATGAAGACGGGCATACGCCATACAGTGTGCTATGAAGGAAATTTTGCCCTGGCAGCGGCACTATCGCCTACTCTTATATTGAATTCCAACTGCCAAGGGATCTTTTACGTGTATTCCAATGTATACACGGGACCTCGGTTTTTCGTCTCATCCGAAGGATTTGACAGCTGTCCTTGTCAGGCCCTCCGTCCCGCATCACTGACAAGGGGGAACCACGCCGGAAAATCTGGATGAACTTTCTCGGCCAATGCAGGGATCGAACACCCGACCTCCAGGCTAGCAAGCCAGCGTCTTACCCACTTAGCCACGTGATCCCCCCATAGAGAAGCTGATATCATTTTACCCGATTAAACTTGTTTGCTAAATTCACACAGTTCAAGAAAAAGACAGAGAGAAATGGGGGTTTAACGTCCACTCTACACAAACTAGGTCATTTCGGAACTAACACATGGTTCAATTCTATTACAATAATTCGCTTGCGCGTAGGGGGCCTTTAGCAGTGGGGGGAAACCGGAGGACCCGGAGAAAACCCACGCGGTTAGACAGGCGACCCTACTCCTTGTCACGTACAACCGGGGATTCGAAACCTCGCCAGTTGCCTGAATGACAGCCCCCCCCCCCCCCACACACACACACACACACACAGTTCAAATGATTTTACATTCGTCAGACTAGCTTTTACTTTCATCTATAGCTCCGTCTAGAAATTGCCCCAAATCTGCCCCAAATCGGGATATGTCTATGGCAAGAATGCGCTAATAACGTGGAGGTCGTAGATTCTTATTGGCATTGGTATCATTTGTCATCCTGATCCTGGTTTATACAATAAACTAGAGCCGTATTAACCAAATTCCAGATTATGAAGGGGGGGGGGGGGGTGGATGGTCGAATGGTTAGCGCGTGCACGTTGTATCATAAGGTCTGTCATTGAGTCAACTGGCGTGGTTTCGATTCCCTGGTTGTACGTGACAAGGAGTAGGGACGCCTGTCCAACCCCGTTGGTTTTCTCCGGGTCCTCCGGTTTCCCCCAACTGCTAAAGACTCCCTACGCACAAGCGAATTATTGAAATAAAATTGAACCATGTGTTAGTCCCGAATTGAACTAGTCTGTGTCGAGTGGACGTTAAACTCTCCCTCTCTTTCTCTCTAACATCTTAGTTTTAATACAATGATGGATGACAGGCATACCCCACACAATGCGCTCGGTCGACTGATATTTCGATTTGCAACTGTCGGGGGATCTTTAATGTGCTGCCCGGGTCTTCACGCACGACTGTACTACTGACACAGAGAAGAAATTCTTGAAAATCTCGAGGAACTTATCCGACAATTTTGTGAACATTCTCATATTTAAGTTAAGGTTTTACTCAACATTCAGTCACTGTTTATTAGAAATATATATTTGATCCAGACACACAAAACTTTGTACATAGTTTCCTATTGATGTATTTGATACATTAAATCAACACAAGATTTAATAAGGGCTACATGTATATTTTGGGGGGTTGGATGGCCGAATGGTTATCACGTGCGTGCTGTATCACAAGACCGACCTGTCATTGAGTCAACTGGCGTGGTTTCGAATCCCCGGTTGTACGTGACAAGGAGTATGGTCGCCTGTCCAGCCTCGTGGGTATTCTCCAGATCCCCCGGTTTCCTCCCACTGCTGAAGACCCCTACGCGCAAGCGAATTATTGAAATAAAATTAAACCATATGTTAGTCCCGAAATGACCTAGTTTTTTTTCTCTCTCTCTCTCTCTCTCTCTCTCTCTCTCTCTCTCTCTCTCTCTCTCTCTCTCTCTCACGTGTATATTTTAGTTAAAATAGGGCGAACAGTTTAGGTGTAAATTCTTAACTTAAGTCCGAGAGCGTTTTTTTAACTCGGGAGCCAGGTTGTAACGAGTCTGCGCCCATACTCACTGGATACGGAGTCACTCTGGTCCCCGCGATCATTCCAAAAGGCTAATAGCCCTCCTTATGAATTGTTACCGTTATCTTAACAAAACAACTAATTTTATTTTACAAAACTTTAAAAACTATTTACAATTTAAATACAGCGTTCATAATGTTATGTCTTTGTATGATTTCTGTGACTTTGTGTCATCGCTGATAGCTCCATAACTTGGATAAGGAGGATCTGTCGGATCGGATAAATTGTCCATAGAATTTTGATCGTATATTATCTCGTATTCGTCACTTAAAACTCTCTGTTTCCGCCATACTAGCTCCACGACTAGATTTACAGTTATTAATATCGCCATCAAAACAGCCCACTGAAACGAAGATAAAATTCGTGAGGTTTAATATCTGGTCAAAACAAAAAATCCGTACCAACACAACTGTTTTCGGTGACTAATAATGTACGTTAGGTTCTCATTCGGCAAAGCTCAGCAGGTTCCAGTAACCCACACCTAGCATCGGCTGTATACCGAAGTCCGCCACTGGAACTACTTTCAAGTTCCCGGATTACCAACGGCGTTGCCCATGACGACGCCTTTGAAGAATGTTTTATCATACAAATATTTCAAAGTCTGAAGCTGTTTTTCTTTCAAGTTTATCCGATTTTCTTCAAACAAGGACAACTTTGCACTAAAAATTCTACATACGCTTCCAACGACGCAATTTTGATAACTTCTTTTTAAAGGCGGCAAGATTTCCTAATAAGTAAACCGGTGCCGCACGGCAATTGTATAGGCGTAGGTACATATCACTTACACCATACAGCCGAGGCTAGATGTAAAGTAAAGGAATCTGACGAGGTTTGCCGAGTGGTTAGGTTCTGTTACAGTTCTCAGAAAGGACCAGAGGGGGAATGAAATGAAATGGGGTTAAACGTCCTACTGTTCTGCACCAACTGGGGAATGCAGACGGGCATACGCCATACAGTGTGCTATGAGGAAAGTTTTGCACAGGCAGCCACACTACGACCTACTCTTATTTCAAATTTCAACTGTCAAAGGTTCTTTTATGTAATCCGAACGACGATACGTTGTTCCTCGGCACGCTCTCTGTACTGCATCACTGCTGTTATAAAATGTGTAACCAGTGTTGTTAATTTTTTAAGCCAACATGGGTGTTAGAAAATGTCTATATAGTGTAACTGTTGTTAGAAAATGTCTAACCTGGGATATATGTGTTATAAAATGTCTACCCTATGCTATAGTTGTTTTAAAACTTGATTAATTTGAGTTATGGTTGTTCTAAAATGCCTAACCTGAGTTATAGTTGTTATAATATGTCTAACCTAAGTTATAGTTGTTATAAAATATCTAAAATGTGTTATATAGTTGTTACAAAATGTTCAACCTATGTTATTGTTGTTATATAGTTGTTACAAAATGTTCAACCTATGTTATTGTTGTTATAATATGTCTAATCTGATGTTTAACCTTTGAAAGAGTTGTTATAAAAATGTCTTACCTGGGTTATAGTTGTTATAAATGTTTCTCTACCAAACTCATACCATTCTTCACCCTCGGCCGTTTCATTAGATATAAGATCTATTGCCCACCATACTATTAATACTATAGCTTCTAATGGTGCTACAAACCTACAAGGATATAGAAACAAAACCGGATTTATTACTGTAGTGTCACAGTAGTTCATGTTCCCCTACTAATCCGTAGGTTACATCCAATTCCTATTCTCTTACCGATCTTAATTTGATCAGTAGAAGTAAAGATTTCAACGAGAACAGACGTCTTGTTGTGTGTGCTCCTCTGTAGCACCATAGGTCTTTTGTCTGACGTGGAGAGCGGGAATGCCAGACCGATCGCCACATCCTACGTACGACCCATGCATCTTTTCTTACTACATATTTCTATAGCCTTGTGATCGTCTAGAATTTGTCTCTAGCTGCCTTTACTTCTGCTTCACGTTGTGTATTTACTTCTACAGTTTTCTTAAGCCGTTTGTCTTACCAGGAATAACAATGCAACAGTTCGCTTCCACATTTTATATAGCATAGCCGAATACATGTATACAAGCACAGATTACAATACTAGCTAAAACCATTTCTCCACCCTAACCAGCCTCGCGGCTGTATAGGAACTCAGATGGAACCTCTCTGGAATCTAATGGAAGTCTAACGAATTCTCACAAGTATGATAGTTTTGAAGCTGTGGGTTTTGGACGTTCAATTATCTAATTGGTCAAATATCATGTAAATAAGTATAGAGATTGGTCAAACAAGCCAAAGGATGCAATCGTAATTTTCCGTCACATGTTTTTCGACACAATCTATCCTTGAACTCAGACCCTCTTTCCTGTTATCCTAACGCTATTACATAAACAATTAATTTGCGTTTTAAATAAACTCATACCATAGCTAATATACTGACAATAGAGAATAATTTGTAAAGATAAAAAATGTTGTTTAACCCATCTTATTTCTCTATTCCTTGTCTATAAATTTTAAAACAATGTCGCAACGACGATAGTGCTACACCTCTACTCGCCGCTGTCTTGGCTAGAATAGCTAGTATCTTCGTGGTGCCTACTAATCAGACCTGCGCTTCAAGAATAACAGCGCCACGGCATCACTTTACCGAATAGTTAGCAGGTGCGCGATGTATCATAAGGTCTGTCGTGTAGTCAACTGGCGTGGTTTCGATTGCTCGGTTGTACGTGACAAGGACCAGGATCGACTGTCTAACCTCGTGGGTTTTCTCCGGGTACTCCGGTTTCCTCCCACTGCTAAATACCCCTACGCGCAAGAGAATTATTTAAATAAAATTGAACTATGTGTTAGTCCCGATATAACCTAGTTTGTGTCGAGCGGACGTTAAACCCTTTTTCTCTTTCTCTATTATGAAGATAAAAGTCTATGTCTAAAGCCTAGCTCACAACTGGCCGTACGCATGAGCGTTGATTTAGGGGGAGGGGCGGGGGCGTCCCCCCTTAGAATCGGAGGGGGGGGGGACAAATAGGCCTCTGTCCCCTCCATGATTTTGATCGCCAGGACAGATTTTCAGGTTTATATCCACATGATGATGAGCTTGTTTCTACGTATCTGGAACTGAATCGGGACTTGGAACAAGAATTGCCATTCTTCAAGCGCCAGTTTTCGGCCAATCTATTTCACTTGTGCACGAAGCGTTCCTCATTATGTCACCTGAAGTGAGGCAGACGTTCCCTTCTGTCGAAGCTCTTCTCATCTCCCACTGCTGAACCCTGCTAGTTCCTGCTCAGCCGAGCGATCCTTCGGCACTCTGCGCCGTATCAAAACTTGGCTGCGCAACTCCATGACGCAAAACCGACTGAGCCACTTGATGGCGTGTGCGGTGCATAATGACCCCCTTCAAGTCGCCAAGACATTCAAAGAGAAGAGTCCTGATCGTAGAACGAACGTCTTTGGACGATTCACTTAACTTCATGAACAATTAATATTTAATATTTAGGTAGTCAATTTTTCCATATTGTCATCATATTACCCATAGTTACAGCTTTCATCGAAATAACACTAGTACAGTAAACTGTTCGTAATTATTTATTTTCTTTGGTAATGAAATGTTCCAGATTCCAGGGTTCGTCCCCCCCCCCCCAAAAAAAAGATGACAAATCCACGCCCTTGGTCGTACGTACTAGTACAGGCAGTCGACGGGGGAATGTTTTAGTAAACCGGTGCGTGAAATGATATCGTTTAACAGATTTGAAACAGCTAAAGATTTTTATTGTGTATTCTTAATAACCTATTTTAATAAGAGACTTATACGTACTTGACTATCCAACCCCATAGTCTAGGTAACTTCCAGTCATCTAAGCTATATTCATTCATAACAGTTTGTCTGAACTGATTCACACCATATGATATTACCATAATCTGTAGCATTATACCATTTACAACCAGAGCAAATCCCCATACAAAATCCTACCATTAATAAACAAAACATTAAAGATAAGTTAAAGATACATTATGGGAGATTGGATAAAGAGCTAACAGTTCTCACTATAATAGTTAAAAACTAGATAATGTAAAGGGAATTTGCTGAAAATTTCAGTCAAATTGACCCAATCAGAACCGAGATTTTAGCGATTGAATTTTCGGCCTAGCCTCGATCATCATTACTAAAGTCGGTTGGATAACAAATATAGTCTCGATTATCCATTTCATGATTAAATCATGAATGGAAGTCGAACAGCAAATCGGAACCTAATCCAATAAACATCGCAGGCTTTTCATTATTTAGTTTTCAACTATTATGGAGAGAACTGTCAGCTCTTTATCTAAATCCTACATAATGCGTCTTTAACGATGTGCTATACAGTTCTTTGTATAACAGTTCAAAAATAGAAAATGAATTTATGGACAATTTTATTCAAATTATTTTAATCTGAGCGAATTTATAACTGTTTATAGATGTAGCGTAGATTGTTTGTTACCGCACAAACAGATTGAAACCCTAAAGACAGATTACAATGGCAAAGAATGTATTGCAACATTACCCACTAGCACATATTATATATCGCTTTTACGGGAGTGGCAGAAGTTGACATTTTGCCAATGCCATGTGTTTACATAAAACACGTGCTTGATCGGGTTATTTTTACTCTTTTGTGTACACAAGCAATAGTCCAGTCAATAAGTCCCGCCCCAAAATGATCACGTGAGCGTTTTAAATGGAGGCTAACTAGGGCAGTGATCATTAACTCGAAGTATGACGTAGATGGATAGCTGCGTGCAGTTTGGGTCATCCCAAACCCCTATGATCTTGTGGACGATTAACAACCTTTTACCCATTGAAAAGTCACATGGTATAGTATATAACAAATTACCTGATTGGTTAGAAAACTGATATAGTATATAACAAATTATCTGATTGGTTAGAAAAGGGGTATAACATATAACAAATTACCTGATTGGTTAAGATATCTATATTTAATGCGGACATTAAACCAATTAAAAACGTCACCACCACAGTCATTGGAGCGCCAATCTTTCGAGGCACTGAAAGTAAAAAATACATTATTTCTTTTCCCCACGTGTTTTTTTTTCTATCCGCTCTGATGACGCGAAACATCAGTCAGCTGGACCTCCTGTTTTAACTTTATTATGAGAAAGGGAGAAGATGACCCGCCCTCTCTTCTCACGACAGCGAATTTATAAGTGTGTTTTAAGGAACTTTTGATATTCTAAGACTATTTTATTTTGTGTTTTTTTCAATTTTCACCCTTTCAAGTATAAATAATTTAATTAGATCAACCTGTCCATAATATCATATTTAATGTATTGAAAGTTAAATCTGTAATAACAACAACATTTCTTTACATAAATGTTTCAAAGGGCTGGTGACGGCGGAAGCATTTCTCCTATCCCGTAGATGTATTAGTCCAACTCAAGCTATTCAATTCCCTTGTGTTTTTGTATTGATTGCTCATGTTACAAATAATTATATATATAACGAAAGCAGATATCAAAAAATGTGACTCGGACGTGTTATAATTGGTGTCAATATTTAGTTGTTAATTACAATTCCATATATTTTGTTAAGAACCATAGTGATTCCAAAAATAAATTCACCGCCAACAAGATAATTCAGATGTTGGATTTTTTAATTGATAATATCTTTGTTGAATTTGGAGGGGAAATTTATCAGCATGTGGTCGGTTTCCCCATGGGCACCAACTGTGCACGTTTGCTTGCTGATTTGTTTCTCTATTCGTACGAAGCCGATTACATACAGGCACTCGTAAAATCAAATAAACGATTAGTCAGACATTTTAATTTCACTTATCGATATATCGATGATGTTCTATCACTGAATAATCCAAAATTTAGTGATTATGTAGAATTCATATATCCTGATGAGCTCGAAATTAAAAACACTACTGACAGTGACAATTACGCTTCCTACTTGGATCTGCGTCTCGATTTTGACAATTGCCATAAACTGAGTGTTAAATTGTACGATAAACGTGATGACTTTGACTTTCCGATTGTTAACTTTCCATTTATTAGTAGTAACATTCCAATATCACCAGCTTATGGAGTGTTTGTGTCTCAACTAATTCGTTACGCGAGAGCTTGTTCATTTTATTCTGATTTTTAAGTAGATCGAGGCATTTGTCATCTAAGCTTCAACTACAGGGATACTTACGAACTAAACTTATTAAAACCTTTAAAAAGTTTTATGGGCGTCATATTGACTTGATTGGTAAATATAACATGTCTCTCTCGGCTATTATTCTAGATACATTTAATTGACGCGTATACAATCTCCCTGATAATGTCTGTCTACTACATCGTTAACACTGTTCATCACGTGCATTTTGCATACCGATAGTCCATTGGCCAATCACGCTATTTTACCGAGATTTCGCCTAATAGTTTGGATGCAGCTATGGCGGGTGTGGCGCCAGGCAGGGTAAGCTTACTCTTCCGGACACCTGTTACCACTATTTGTCGTGTATTTTGTACACGGAGAGCAGTCCATTTCCTGATTACACTATTTTGCCTGATTACAGTATTTTGCCTGTACCGTTTGTTTTGGGACACAACACTGTTCATCACGTGCATTTTGCATACCGATAGTCCATTGGCCAATCACGCTATTTTGCCAAGATTTCGTCTAATAGTTTGGATGCAGCTATGGCGGGTGTGGCGCCAGGTAGGGTAAGCTTACTCTTCCGGACACCTGTTACCACTGTTTGTCGTGTATTTTGTACACGGTGAACAGTCCATATGCTGATTACACTATTTTGCCTTATTACACTATTTTGCCTATACCATTTTTTAAGGACTTCGAATTTTGTCTAATGGTTTGGATTGTTCGTACTTGGTTTTATTTTATTGAACACATTAACGATCTGGGCTGTTAAAAATGCTGAAATTTTCTGTCTTACTGCTGGAGCACAGAAGAAAAAGACTGAAATATAAATGAAATGAAGTCCGATTTATATATGGGTTGGAATATAAGGATTTCTCGTCGCATAGCCAGGATAAGGACTAGGTTAATGAAGATGGACATACGCCATACAGTGTGCCATGAGGGAAATTTTGCCTGGATTATAGCGGCGCTACAGCCTACTTTTACATCGAATATTAACTGCGAAGGGATCTTATGCGTGCACGCCAATGTGTACACGTGGGTCTTGGTTTTTCGTCCCATCCGAAGGGTTTTACATTGTCCCTTGTCAGGCCCTCGGTCCTGCACCACTGACAAAGAGGAACCGCGCCGGAAAATCCCGATGAACTTTCCCGGCCAACGCAGGGATCGAACACTGAACCTTCAGGTTAGCGCGAGCCAACGTCTTGCTAACTGAGCCGCATAGCCAGTGTCGTATATTAATATGATAACTAGGCCTACCTCCAAAATCATACAGTGTATGAGTGGAGAGTTCCAAATTTGAAATTAAAGATGTTACTCCAGCAAATGATAGACAAATAAAGAATAAAACACATAACACTCTACCAAATGTTCCGATAGATGAAAATAGCACAGGTATCCTGAAACAAGTACAAAACAAAAACAAAGTATAAATGACTGGACGAATTGACACAAGCTATTCCGCCACGATCCCGAGATGCAAACAGAGAGAGCGCTAACTTAAACCTAACCCTAAATCTAACCCTAGCCCTTACCGAGAATACTCGGCAACACTCATGTGCCCTAACCCTGTTTACATCTCGTGACCATGACGAAATCCGCAGGTGGTCTTAATATTTAGCCCTGGTTTGATATTACGTCGAATTCATGGTACCTCAAATCTAAGATTTAAATAATACATTATAAATAGCTGATATCTCGATCAAAATGAAATGAAATCGGGTTTAACGTCCTATTGTTCTGCTCTGGCTGGGCTAATAAGGACAGACATCCGCCATGCAGCGTGCTTTGAGGGAAATTTTGTCCTACAGCCTACTCTTATATTGGAACAACTGCCGATGGATCTTTTACGTGCACGGCAATATGTACATGGGACCTCGGTTTTCTTCCCATCCGAACGACTAGACAGCTGTCCTTGTCAGATCCTCCGCACTGCACCACTGACACTGTGAAACCACGTTGCAAAATCGCGATGAACATCCTCGGCCAACACCAGGAGACAAACCACAACTTCCTGGCTAACGAGCCAGCGTCTCACACAACTAGCCACTTGATCAAACTGAACATACCATATAAATGTTAGTCCCGTACTACCAGGACCACTGTCTTTAACAATATCAACAATCTGAGTTTCTCCTATCTGTGGACGGGTTAGGGTCAGTGTTGAGAAAACGGTAGAAAATATCAAGATAGCCGACAACAAGCTGATCAGGTTGTTTGTGGTTGGTATTAAGGTGGCGTATTTAACCACTGCGTTCTCTCTGGTCATGAAGGAAGAATAGGGAATCATTAAGCCCTGGCCTGCTCCAGTATCATACGCATTCTGACTTAGAGCGTCCACCCAAAGACGTGGCTCTTTCAACGAATCTGAAACCAAGAGCAGATTATCTTTAAGGTATTTGGGAATTATCCAAATGCGTGGTTCTTTTAAAAAGCCTGAAAATATGGACTAATTAATTTTATAAAGAAATGGAAATCACCCAATGACTCGGCTGTTTTCATGAGTCATGGTATTACCCAAAGACTCGGCTCTTTTAATGAGTCTGAAAAGATGAGTTGATCATTTATAAGTAATCATCCTCATACGTGGGTCTTTCAATGGGTCTTAACACAAGAGCAGATGACTTTTATTGATCTAAGGCGTCAACCCAAAGACGTGGCCCTTTCAAGGAGTATGAAAATATGAACATATTAGTTTTAAGAAATTGAGAATCAGATTGTTTATTAGGAATTGGGAATCATTCAAAGACGTATGTCTTGTAATGTGTCTGTTAATATATCAGCAGATTAGTTATAAGGAATTGGGAATCACCCAAAGACGTTACTCTTTTAAAAAGTTTGAAAAATGAGCAACCGGGAATCTCTTTGCATTTGACATGATTTACTGCTTTTCTGATTAGATTTATCATCTTTGGGAAACAGCAACGGGGTTTCTTACTGGTTTACAGTAATTGTCAGAGAGTGTTCGTCCAGGTTTTCCCTTGTCCTTAAAGAAGATAAACCCCAACTTACCCCAGTTTGGCGAGAAGAGATAGGTGACGCCTATATTGGAGTACTCTCGTGTTAAACTCCATAATATAAAGGTCTGTTCTCATTTGGGGACATTTGTCGTCTTGGGGACACGGCAGAGGGATTTCTTACCGGTTTACAATAACTATCAAGAGGTGTTCGTCTCCTGATCCTGGGAGTAGATAAAACCCAACTTACCCCAGTTTGGTGAGAAGAGATATGTGACACCTATATTGGAGTATTCTCGTGTCAAACTCCATATAAAGGTAAAGAGGATGATGAGTAGAAGAGATGGGACTAACACCATGTTAACTTTCTCTATCGTCTTTACTCCTTGTATCACAGAAAACCCTGCTACTATTACAGCTACAGCATGCGTCAATACAGGCCACGAACTCTCCTGGTGAACATTGTTAAAAATTAGCCAATGAACGAACAAAATTAATAGTTGAAATGATTTAAATGGGGTTTAACGTCCTACTGTTCTGCTCCGACTGGGCTGATGAAGACGGGCATACGCCATACAGTGGCACTATGGCCTACACTTATATCGAATCCCAGCTGCCAAAGGATTATTTACGTGCACGCTAATGTGTACACGGGGCCTCGGTTTTTTGTTCAATCCGAACGACTAGACAGATGTCTTTGTCGGACCCCTCGATAAGTTAATTAATGTCTAATTAATAATTTAGATAATATTTCAGACCTAAAGAAAGACCTGCAATAGGCAGATTTAGCTCTTCCATAATAGTAAGTGCAGGGGGGCTGCACCACACAAAATTTACACAAAAACAAATACACGGACAGGACATCATACTCAGGAAAACACAAACATAATGACAATTCAAAAAAAGTGAATGGATCCGGGGGCTAGCCGTAAGCGTCCACTGCGCTGTACAGTCCCGGGTCTGTAGTGACACAGACTTCACTCAAATTTTATAACAATTAGGAATACAATCCAAAGAACCCATTGTGTAATGCCAGCATGAGTCATGATCTGCTATATGCTACACGAAATACGAATGTAAGCATATGTAGTAAAATTCAACAATACAAGTAACCACATAGGTGAAAAGTATAAAAAAGTAGTCTAAACTCATTCAATAAAGAAACGCTTCAGTATTTAATACATATAGGGTACATGTTCCATAGTCACAAAAAAACAAAAACAAAACTGAATACAGAGAAGCAAGTAGGAAATGTAGACTGTCACGAGGGCCAGCCGTCTGCTGACTGAGGATGACGTCATATCTTAGAAGGTGATAAAAAATCACAATAATAAGGAAGATAATCCAGATAAAATAACGTTAAAAGCTTAAAAAAACATAAGTTCTAGCGAGTAATCGGAATTATTAAGTTATGTAATTGTACAATATATAATAATATATTAATATAATACCCCACACAAGAAATGCAAAACAGGTATGTTGAAGAAATCGTACTATGTAAGTGTATTTATAAAGGCATAATATTAAGGGAGGTAATTCAGACAGGGTTAGGTAACTACAGAAACTCTAAAATAAAATTTAAATTGGATCATTATTATCCAGTATGTAGTCGGTTATATACTTACAAGAAATGTCAAACTTGGTATGTTGAAGTAATGGAAGTTTTGAAATTTCTTTTAAAATGCGTAATTGTGTAGCGCCTTTGGCAGTGCATTTAAAGTACAGAGATTTTATTCGGGAGAGAAATAGATCTTTATCGTTATATATTGTCAAATTTCGTAATGCCTGTGAATAGAAAACACTATATAGAGTGGTATCTGGTATGTTACTATAGATTGACGGGTATTTTACTACTTCAAAACCAAATTTGTCCGTCTTGTCGAAAATACCGACATTAAATTTATTGTTAATTATATTGATGTTAAGGTCAAGAACAGATGCATTTATAGTACCGGAATTTTCTTTATTTAATATTAGTTCAGGAGGATATATTTCACTTTTATATTTGTTGAAATTTCCGTTATCATTGATAGGTGTTATGTCATCAATGTATCGGAAGGTATAGTTTAGACGTTTAGCTACTTTGTAATCTGTTGTTCTTTTATGGTCTTGAAAGTCGAATTCGTATTTATATAAATGTGCGTTTGCCATAAATGGGGCGGGGTCAGTTCCCATTGGCAAACCAATGGTTTGTTGCATTATCTGATCCCCAAGCTCAAATATGGCATTATCAATAAGGAAATGTATGATATTTTGAAATTTTTCTTTATCAAAAACTACAGTGTCGGCATTGCGACGTTTTATAATCCATTTAGCATCTTCTGCATAAATGGCCATCAAGTTTCTGCCTTTCCCGAAAGCTCCATTAAAGGCTTTATCGACAAACCAATCTAAATAATGTATGTTTAAGTTAATAAAAGTCTAATTAATAGTATATATAACATTTAGATCTTACATAATATATCTTTAACATGGAATAAATAGCTCTAAATACACATTTTAAAGAAAAAAAACCCATTAAAGCACTGGTTTGGCGATAGATCTTCCTCTATCGGGTTCAAATAAATGTGTTATAGAGACATTATATATACTACAGCACCATTTGAAAGTACAATAATTGACAATTGGCTATTGAATACATGTGAAGTCTCACCTCAGCATAGTCTCTGAATATTTGTCTACTTTCTTCTGCTGTTTCTGGTAGCTCATTACCCATACAGTAAACAGCATAGTAAAAACACCAGCCTAGTACTACAGAGTAATAACATCTACAATATAATATACAGTATAGTAAAAACACCAGCCTAATACTACAGAGTAATAACATCTACAATATAATATACAGTATAGTAAAAACACCAGCCCAATACTAGAGAATAATAACATCTTCACTATAATACACGGCATAGTAAAAACACCAGCCCAATACTACAGAGTAATAACATCTTCACTATAATATACAGTATAGTAAAAACACTAACCCAATACTACAGAATAATAACATCTACAATACACACACACACACACACACACTCACACAATATAACAGCACAAATAGAGAGAGAGAGAGAGAGAGGAATGGGGTTTAACGTCCACTCGACACAAACTAGGTCATTTCGGGACTAACATATGGTTTAACTTTATTTACATAATTCGCTTGCGCGTAGGGGTCTTTAGCAGTGGGAGGAAACCGGAGGCCCCGGAGAAAACCCACGAGGTTGGACAGGCGACCCTACTCCTTGCCACGAACAACCGGGGATTCGAAACCACGCCAGTCGACTCAATGACAGACTTTATGATACAGCGCGCGCACGCTAACCATTCAGCCATCCAACCCCCCATAACAGCACATATAGTAGATAGAGAGGTACCGCACATATAGTAGAGGTACCAGTCCAGTACTTTTAGAATTTACAGTACTACTATAACGTTACAAGAGAGAATATAGCTGCCGATTGATAATTAACCAAAACAATTAAATTATGTCAGGTTTTCACGAGGGAGGGGAGGGGGTATAAAAAATATAAATTAAACCAAATTCTTACGAAATAAAGAAAGTAACCATTGATATCCACGCACCACACCACGCGGCTTTATCGCCTATGAATTCTCTGAAAGAGCCTATTACAGCTTTCTGTGTATAACGTCCAGTACCATATTCAATCATTAACATAGGTATAGACCATATCAACAAAAACATGAACCAGACCAACAGAAAAGCCAAACCACCTGAAATTAGGAAATAAAATGGGGATTAACGTTTTACTGTTCTGCTCCGCCATACAGTGTACTATGAGGAAAACCCGAAGGCATGTGCCCATTGCTCTGCGTTTAAAATTGTACGTCAGAAAACAGCATATTTTACTTTCAACAGTCGACTATAAAACTTTAATTGACAAGGGGCTCGCTCTGATTAAACGTTTCTTAAAGCTACGTTCCCAGAAAAGTATTTATTGGGTGGTTATTTCCAATAAAAGTATGGCAATTTTGGTATATATGGAAAGTAGAAATATCCAATCTTACTAGAAAAATATTAGATTAACTGAAAAACCACGCGGAGATTGAGCGCTTGATGTACATGTTGATAAACTTTATGAAGAGTAAGACGTACAACACTTTCTGAGATAAAAATCACGGAAAAAGACGCGGGCAGTGGATAATCCGAGAATTTAATTAGGCTTCGATATTTGTAATAAATAGTCAGCGATTAAGGCAACATCGCCTTGTGTAGCAATAAATTCTCCCCGACCTCGCACCCGTGGTGTCACGTGACACAAACATGACCTCTTTTGATCGATTTTTTTATAGCCGGCTATTCCCTGACAATTGCAATGTTTTGAGAAGGATTTGAAGCAAAATTATAATAAATAATTAGTTTGAATATGTTTTTAGTCCAAATATATCATCAAATCACCCAGTTTGTACCCGGGAATGTATCTTTAAGTTGAATCGAAGCAGTGGATCGACAAGAAGCTTCCCCATTATAGTTGTTGAAATTAATTTTAATCTTGACCTAAATCAAGGAAATGGACTGCCCCTTTTAATCATAAATAACCGATTGTGTTTTGAAGAATCTTACCATCTTGGCCACTGTTATTGGCAACAATTCTAGGAAATCTCCAGATATTACCAGTACCAACAACACACCCTAAACACGAACAGATTAATCCAATCTTAGATCCAAAATGTGGGCCATCTTCCTAAAAATAATATGTAGGAATTACAGTTATCCACTTGAAGGGCAAACGGCAGCAAGAAATGTGAAAGTCGCAACATATTCGTCACTATAAAAAAGTATACAACAATAACGCCAAAATGTGAAGCTTATTCCTCCTATCGCAATGCCTGTCAGATAAACGACAGTTGCAGTGTATTCGTTATAAATGATTTAAATTAAACGCCAAATTGTGGACTTCTGTCTACGGAATAATATCAGAGGAATTACTCTTTGAAATAATCCTATTGAAAGACGATGCCACATGAAAAGGATGTGAGCGGGTTGGAGTATAAGGTCTATCGTTGAGTTATTTGGCTTGGCTTAGATTCCCCACTGATTTTTCTCCTCTTCAAATCCTTCAATTTTTTATAACAATCATTATATCATTTTTAAATATAGATTTTTATTATCTATAAGATGAAATCCACACCTAGGCTATTGTCTTATCAACTTCCCGGGTATATAAATATCATATGTAGGTCAAATATACTACATACCTTTCTATATAAATGAAATGAAATTGGGTTTAGCGTCCTACTGTTCTGCTCCAACTGGGGTAATGAAGACGGGCATACGTCATACTGTGTGCTACAGGCCACTCTTATATTGAATTCCTACTGCCCAGGGGATATTTTACGTGAATGTCAATGTGTACACGGGACCTCGGTTTTTCGCCCCCCCCCCCGGACGACTATACGCTGTCCCTTGCTTGGCCCGATGTCCTGCACCACAAACAAGAGGGAACCACGCCAGAATATCCCGATGAACTTTGAAACGAACATTATGGTATTTTTCATTTAAAAAATAACGTGTGCAATGAAAGATATGAGTTCATACTACGTAGAGAGGTGGACCTCGGGTTTTTCGTCCCATCCGATCAACTAGGCACACTCTCCTTTTCAGCTCCAGAGATACACTATCCCTCTTCAATGATAATTTGGCTTGAAAATGATTACAAGGATACGTCGTTCATTTAACGCAATAATCCGTGAGTATTTCGGATGATTATTACCAAATGAAATGACATGGGATTTAAAGTCTTACTGTTCTGGTCGCCTGTCCAACCTCGTGGGTTTTCTCCGGGTCCTCCGGTTTCCTCCCACTGCTAAAGACCCCTACGCGCAAGCGAATTATTGAAATAAAATTAAACCATATGTTAGTCCCGAAATGACCTAGTTTGTGTCGAGTGGACGTTAAACCCCATTTCTCTCTTTCCCTACTGTTCTGAACCGACTGGGATAATCAAGACCGACTTACACGACAGCCTACTCTTATTTCGAATTCCAAATAAAATAAAACCAAGTACGAACAATCCAAACCATAAGACAGAATTCGAAGTCCTAAAAAACGTTATAGGCAAAATAGTGTATTCAAGCAAAATAGTGTAAGCAGCAAATGGACTGCTCCTCGTGTACAAATTACACGACAAACAGTGGTAACAGGTGTCCGGAAGAGTAAGCTTACCCTGCCTGGCGCCACACCCGCCACAGCTGCATCCAAACTATTAGGCGAAATGTCGGTAAAATAGCGTGATTGGCCAATGAACTATCGGTATGCAAAATGCACGCGATGAACTGTGTTAACGATGTAGTAGATATTATCAGGGAGATAGTAATAGTATACGTGTCAATTAAATATATCTAGAATAATAGCCGAGAGAGACACGTTATATTTACCAATCAATATGACGGCCATAAAACTTTTTAAAGGTTTTAATAAGTTTAGTGCGCAAGTATCCTTGTAGTTGAAGCTTAGATGACAAATGCCTCGATCTACTTAAAAAATCAGAATAAAAGGAACAAGCTCTCGCGTAACGAATTAGCTGAGACACAAACACTCCATAAGCTGGTGATATTGGAATGTTACTACTAATAAATGGAAAGTTAACAATCGGAAAGTCAAAGTCATCACGTTTATCGTACAATTTAACACTCAGTTTATGGCAATTGTCAAAATCGAGACGCAGATCCAAGTAGGAAGCGTAATTGTCACTGTCAGTGGTGTTTTTAATTTCGAGCTCATCAGGATATATGAATTCTACATAATCACTAAATTTAGGATTATTAAGTGATAAAACGTCATCGATATATCGATAAGTGAAATTAAAAAGTCTGACTGATCGTTTATTAGTTTTTACGAGCGTCTGTATGTAATCGGCTTCGTACGAATAGAGAAACAGATCAGCAAGCAAAGGTGCACAGTTGGTGCCCATGGGAATGCCAACCACTTGCTGATATATTTCCCCTCAAAATTCAACAAAGATGTTGTCAATTAAAAAATCCAACATCTGAATTATCTTGATGGCCGTGAATTTGTTTTTGGAATCACTGTGATTCTTAACGAAATATGTGGAATTCTAATTTACAACTAAATATTGATATCTCGCAGTACCTGATTTAGACGAAAAGACACTGTGAATACTGTCTTTCAACCGGGCTTTTAATTTACCATGGGGAATTTTAGTGTACAAAGTAGAAAAGTCAAACGTTTGAATAGATGAGACTGAAGCAAGGGATCTAGATTGAAAACCATCAAGTAATTCTTTGGAATTTTTCAATATCCACATTTGATTTATACCACTACGAGAGTATATTTTGTCACAGTATTTTTGAATACCCTCTTTAACAGCCGTTAGTATAGATGTCAATACTTTTGAAAGTGGTTTTGTGGAACAACGGGTTCTTTTACGTGCACGCTAATCTGTACACAAGTTTTCGATGTAGAAGTCATATGTTACCAATAGTGAAATGAAATGAGGTTTAACGTCCTACTGTTCTGCACCGACATGGATAATAAAGACGGGCAAACACCATACAGTGTGCTCTGAGGGAAATTTTCCCCCGACAGCGGCGCTACGGCCTACTCAAATGGGGCTAATTAAAACGGGCACATGTCATACAGTGTACGCTGTGGGTAACATTTTACCCGGACAGCGGCGCTACGGTCTACTCCGTTGAATATTACGTCATTATCCTACCTGTGAATTGTCACTGTCTCTCCTTTTGTCGGCCATGATTTAGCTTGATACATTTTAATGATAGCTAATCGATGTCATGTGATGTTTATAAAAGGTACATCAGTCATGTGGACAAGATAACTGAACAATCGGCTCTGTTTTTATCACCAAATGTACTAATTTATTATTATGGACAATCTATGGCCGTTATTATATGTTGTGCTTTTATCACCAGATTTATTAATAGAAACGGGTTATTCTGGACAATGTATAGCCATTATATGATATTGTGCTTTTATCAACAAATATATTCATTTATTATTCTGGATAATCTACAGCCATACTTATTAGATGTTGGGTTTTTATCACCAAATTTAATAAAAGAGAGAGAGAGAGAGAGAGAGAGAGAGAGAGAGAGAGAGAGAGACCTAGTTTTGTGTCGAGTGGACGTTAAATCCCCTCTCCCTCTCTCTCCCTCCCTCTCTCTCTCTCTCCTCGTCACATTACCAATCGTCTTTCCTCTCACGCTCACGATTTGTTTTCTCAGAGAGAGAGAGGGAGAGAGAGAGAGAGAGAGTTTATCGCCCACTCGACACAAACTAAGTCATTTCGGGACTAACATATGGTTCAATTTAATTTCAATAATTCGCTTGCTCGTATGGGTCTTTAGCAGTGGATGGACACCTGGGGACCAGGAGAAAACCCACGAGGCTGGACAGGCGACCCTACTTCTTGCCACGTACAACCGGAGGATCGAAAACATGCCAGTTGACTCAATTACAGACCTTGTGATACAGCGCGAACGTGCTAATCATTCGGCCATCCATCCCCCCCCCCCACACCTTAAATAGACCCTGATTCAAATTGCCTTGAATGAAGACCGCACGAATACAACAACCGTACATATAACACTGCTCAGTTAAAAGTAAAGTTATTGTGTACGAAAAGGTGTGACGAACCCATTTTAATAACTCCATGCTTTGTGAGAAATACGGGGGCTCAATAAACTAAAGGGAAGTTTTTAAAAACTACTTATCGTTGACGGTTTGCCAAAATATTGGCATACAATAAACACTTATTAATAAGCCCTCTTCACACTTAATCTGGAATCAACAGGAATCGAGTAGAATGCTAATGCATCTCGAGTGCGGATGGGTTGCTGCCCAAATACCACACGAAGTCTGGTTGGAAGTTGCGTCGAATGCTATACGAATTCAGCGCGAATGCAGTCAGAACGTCTCCAGAATGGCCGCCGAATATGGTTTGAACGTCCAGGAATTCAAACAGAATGTAATGCGAATAGATTCCGGCAGCGCGGCTCATTTGGGACACTCTGGCAGGATTTGAAGTGTCTTGCCGTTTCGATTCTCACTCCAATGCGAACAGAATGTTTCGAATGTTGTTGGAATGCCGTAAGAATATTCAGAATGCAGAGTACGTTTTGAATACACTTCGAATGCCGTTCGATATTTCTTCGAATGCACCTGGACAGTTTTGAGCATGCGCAAAACATTTGGAATGCAACAAGAATGCTGTCATTAAAATACATTTCGGATATCCAGGAATATACAACGAATTTTTATTCGGACGCATTCGGGCTCATTCGGCCTCTAGTGTGACCAGGGATTTTAAGATCTATTATAATCTGGAATCAGTCGAGATTCCGTGTAAGGCGTTCACTGAAAATACATGTAAAAAAAACAAGAACCAAGAGTGAAGCTGGTGTCCCCCGCCGAAATCCCAAAATAAACATATGAACATATTAATTAATTGCACATTTATCTTTTTCAAATCAAACTGATTATCTATGCTTAGTCTAAGCATAAAATGTTCACCATCAAACTCAGGTTTTGAAGTACCTGGTAGTGAGTGAAACTATACACTAAGTTTCATCACTCTCCAGGGGGATTGGATGGCTGAATGGTTAGCGTGCGCGCGCTGTATCATAAAGTCTGTCATTGAGTCGACTGGCGTGGTTTCGAATCCCCGGTTGTACGTGACAAGGAGTAGGGTCGCCTGTCCAACCTCGTGGGTTTTCTCCGGGTCCTCCGGTTTCCTCCCACTGCTAAAGACCCCTACGCGCAAGCGAATTATTGAAATAAAATTAAACTATATGTTAGTCCCGAAATGACCTAGTTTGTGTCGAGTGGACGTTAAACTCCATTTCTCTCTCTTTTAACAGACAAAATGTATTTGTCCATCCCATATGACATATATTTCTGTTAAAGTCCATTCGAAACCACGCCAGTTGACTCAATGACAGACCTTATATTTTCATCATTGAACCCAGTCAAGACATTCACCTAATGAACATCTATATCTCAATTAAAAGCAGAATTATTATGTTCCAAAGTCTTGACCAATCATATTGCTTATCGCTACCGAGCCTAAGCAGAAAATTCTAATCATCAAACATAGTCAATGTATTGATATAATGAATCTATACTCAAGAGTTTCATCGCTCTCACCCAATTAGAACCAAAGTTATCGTGTTCCAAAGTCTCAACTAATCAAACTGCTTATCTCTGCTTAGCCTTAGTGGAAAATGTGCATGATCGAACTCTATCAAGGCATTCACCTACTACTAATGAACACAAACACCAAGTTTGAACATTCTAGCTCAATTAGAAGGAACGTTATTGTGTCACAATATGTATGACGGACAGACAGACAGACGGACAGACCCATTTTAATAATCTCCCGCTTTCTTCTAAAGGCGGGGGACAAAAATCAACATGCATTTGTGGTAGTGTATATTTGTGTATATTTGTATTTATTGTATCTTGAATATTTGTTGTATTATTGTCCCTTTAATATATTAGTTATTTATGGTATATTTGGTGTTCGTTGTATTGTCCCTTTAATAGTCCATCTCTAAGCTGGTTAAGAATATCTTTACAACAGCAAGTCTAAACTCTACTCACTTTTAACTCACTAAAATAACCACATCTCAGCTTCTCTTTCAAATCTCACTTGCATCTTAACCTTGTTACAAGGAGGATCACATTCTGTCACTTGGTAAGTTTTATATTTATTTGACTGACTTTAATATTTTATCTGTTTAATATGGTAATGTAATTAGAATATATTTATATATGAAATAATTAAGTTATTAGTATATTTCTATAAGTATTTCCATAAGTATGTTTGTGTAATTGAGAATATTCTACTCTCGGCTATTTAGTGTTAATTTATTCATAACCTTAATTTCAGTCTTTGTGTCATACTGTGTCTGTATGGTAGCCATATTTAAGACATCAACCCTATTATAAACTCCTATTTTATAGGGTATGTATATGTATTTGTATGTAATTGTATTAGTTAAAACTCATTGTAAATATCTTATTCATTCCTTTGTTTCAAATCAATTATTTCCCGCCACTATTTTAAATATATGTATATAGTGTAAACTATTACTATTCTTGATTTTTATACATTTCTTTATGTCTCTCAGAGTTTTTTTTATATGTATACTAAATTGATGATCCACAATAAAATCCTGAACCCATGACCTGGTGTTTTGTTCGTCTTTGTGAATAGAACCCTGCTACACATTCTATTTTTTATTCACTAAGGTATGGAAGCCGAGAAGTGCATATCGCTCCTTCTTGTGAACGCGTTATAACACTTCGTTACAGCGAAGGTGAGAGGGGGCGTGCGGGTACTTATCGGCTTCCATAATATAGGGGATTTTATAAAACATTTTTGTTGTATATATATAAATATCTCACGTGGTATTTCTTTTGTTGTAAACTTTCCTTATTCCATACATAACCTGTAACGGTTTATTTTATAATTTTAATAATAAGTGGGGTATTTTTTATAAACATTTTGCGAGCCAGCGTAGAATTGGATTGGATAATAGACTAACCTTTGTGTGAACCTATCCTGGCGTATTATTTAAGGTAGATATAAAAGCATGTTGGTTTAGTACATGTTCCTGAAGCAACGACAGCAAGTTTTCCATCATCTAGTTTGATAGTATTTACGGAGTTAAAATGAGATCAAACCGTCTATTGAAAGGGCCTTGATAGTATGTGTGCAGTTAAAGGACTTGATAAGATGTACGGAGTTTAAGCGACATAAAGTCTTCTATTGAAAATTATAACAAGTGAACTGTCGTATAGATCAGCCGAATGCTTATAACAGGTGGTGAACTGTTGTGCAGTAAAACAACCATATATAACAAATGGACTGTGGTATAAACTACCATATAATTGTAATTAAGTGAATTGTCGTATAATAAAACAACAGTAATTATAACAAGTGAACTGTGGTATAAAGCAAATATGTACGTTCAACATAAACTTGATCTAATCTGTGCATTCTTTAATAACTCAATAACCATAATGTGTGAACGTGATTTTAGCTTCCCGACGTGGTTTCCTCGAGTCAGTGGTGCAGGACGCAGGGCCTGACAAGGAAAGCTGTGTAGTCATTCGGATGAGACGAAAAAACGAGGTCCCGTGTATACATTGGCGTGCACGTAAAAGATCCCTTGGCAGTTGGAATTCGATATAAGAGTAAGCCATAGCACACTGCATGGCGTACGCCCGTCTTTATTAACCCAGTCGGAGCAGAACAGTAGGACGTTCAACACCAATTCATTTCTGATTTTAACAAGGACTTTGTCTAACTGTGTTGTACATATCAGTAAAGATGGCGGAAGGGGGTGATGACACACATAGATGTACCATTTGTTTAGAGGACTTCACTAAACCTAAAATACTTCCTTGCTTTCACACGTTTTGTGAACATTGCCTAGAGAGTCATATAGCATCACAAATATATGATCTAAATAGGTTTAGATGTCCCAATTGCAGAACGGAGATTCGCGTACCCTTTGGTGGTGCAAGTAAATTCTCCACAAACTTTTACATCCAGCCGAATGATAAAACACAAAAGTATTTCTGTCCGAGACACAAGACAAAAGAAATAGAATTTTATTGTCTCGATTGTCACGTTACTATGTGTTGTAGTTGTCTTTTACTGGAGCATACAACGCACTCAAAAACAGATCTTACAGAAATTGACCAAGACGTCAGAGAACAGTTAAACATTTCAAAAAAGAAGATCGAAGCGAAGATCCATGAACTCGATCAACACTGTGAATCTTTAACCAGTCAAATATTTGATATCAAGAACCAAGCTAAAACAGCATGCGCTAATGTCGATAAACAGGTGAAAAGAGTTTGTGAAGAAGTTAAAAAACATGGCGGTGATATAAAATTTGAGATAAATAAAATTCGCGAAGAGGAAACTAACAAGTTTCAGACCTTACATGACGATGTTATCAGAATCAGAAGTTCGCTACAGAAAAGTCTTAATTATATGACTGAAGTGTTAAGTCGTAAATCTACATTTCCAGTTGTAGATGCGTTAACCAATGCCCAAACATTAACTGAAAACAGCAGACCAACCAATTTAGATTTACCCACAGCGATATATGTTCATTACCCTATGGTGGAGATAGATGTTGAAACTTTAAAACAAGTACTGGGTGATGAGTTGAAAACCATTAAGTCGCGTACCTGGACGTCTACTTTTGGTTTGGATCAGATAGTAACGACTGACGTGAACTACGATAGTGATGACGTCATTATTCACGGGATGCCATGGTCTATTTGTGTAAAACGTCATACTGCTAACTCCACATTAGGGATTTACATGCATCTAAATGGGGTAGACGGTAATAAAACAGTTTCAGCTAGTTTTATACTAAAACTATTAAATATAAACGATGTAAGAAAATCTTTAGTGAGACAATATTCATCGGTGTTTACTTCCGGTGGTGAGGGTTACGGCGAAGATTTTATTAGCTGGGAAAAGCTACGGAACAGAAAGAATGGGTTTATTGACAAAAAGAACAGATTTACTATTCATGCTACTGTTAAAATAATGTTATGAAATGAATACTTTGTTTAGCTTGAGACTATTTGGACATTCTACGTGTTTTTAATTATTATTTTGTCGTTTGTGATTCAGAGAGCTTTAAAGAGATATTTAAATCAGCTCTATCAAGAACCTAACACACTCACTCCCCCGTCGCGTACATGCTGTAACCGGGCCCTTATTCACGAAAACTAAGATACAATCGAAATTTTAAGAAATACTGCAATTCGATTGGCTGACCAGTAAACTCAATTTGCATATATCCAATGAAGTTGCGGTATTTCTTAAAATTTCGATTGTAACTTAGTTTAAGTTTTCGTGAATAAGGGCCCAGGCCCTGCGACGTACAGATTCAGATTCGGATTGAGCCATTACAAGTACTTAATTTTCAGCATTGTCCTGTAGGATACGAGTTTTTTTGCTCATTACAAAATGGCACCCGAATCCATAGAGTTCACTGTGTCTAAAATATTGGATATTAGGATCCCACATTACAACATCAATATTGATTGAAATGGACCAATATTGAATTCTAATTCGTGTGTTTAATATTTGAATATTATGGAAAATAATGAGTAAGAGATTTAGCCCCTTTAAGACGGTAGGATATTATAAACTATAGTACTTAAACATGCATTATGCAAGAGTTAAATCTGCCTATTTCAGGTCTTTCTTTAGGCCCGAAATGTTATCTAAATTATTAATTAGACATTAATTAACCTATCCAGGCCATAATCAACTCTAGATGGCAGCGCTAGCCTGCGATCTTTAGTGGATTGTAAGCCGATTTACTGCATAACTTTCTTTCTCTATTAAACGATTAAATGGCTAATCGAGACTATGCTGTTTATCGTACTGACTTTAGTAATGATGATTGAGGCATATGGGAATTTCATTCGCTTAGTTCTCGGTTCATAGTGGATCAATTTGAATGAAATTTTCACCAAATTGCCTTTATATTATCTAGTTTTTAACTATTATAGTGCGAACTGCCAACTCGTTACCGAATCTCCCATAATGTATCTTTAAGCTTTATTAGGCTGTCTATCTACAATTAGCTCCGCTTGAGAACAGATACAAAGCTAGTTAACCGACATTTTAAGTCCTAAATCGACGATTTTAGTCAGAAACACTGAGTTATATTTATATCACGGCTTTCATGAGTTAACAGGTTTAAACATCGAGGCCTTAGGTCGAGATGTTAAACCTGTTAACGAATGAAGCGTGCTATAAATGACTTGTAATATTGAAACCTGCTCAACATGCTTGTTGTTATTGCACAGAAAATCCACCCCCACTTCTCTATATTTCTACTAAAACTAATGTAAACCAGCAAAAGAATGCAATAACATTGAACATGCCTAGTTGTTGCACGGTTAAGCTCCACCCAATCTACTATAGGGAAAACAATCTGCTTATTCAACAAAAAGAACAAAGGAAGATTTCCGTCCATGTTACAAATATACTTCAAGGATTTTTTTTTTTTAGTATTTATTCTGCTTTCATTTAATAAAATTGAAAAAATTTTATTTAGTCTTTGTGTGTATTAGAAATGTGAAACGGAGTAGAAACGCATTACAAAACAGCATACTTATTTTTTAGATATGGCTACCATTTAGGGAGAGAGAGAGAGAAATGGGGTTTAACGTCCACTCGACACAAACTAGGTCATTTCGGGACTAACATATGGTTTAATTTTATTTACATAATTCGCTTGCGCGTAGGGGTCTTTAGCAGTGGGAGGAAACCGGAGGACCCGGAGAAAAGGCTACCATTTAGGACAGAGTAGAACCGCATTACAAAACAGTATACTCATTTTTGGATATGGCGGTCATTTAGGGCAGAGATTTATTCTCGAAGTATGAAGTAGATGGATCTCTGTGTGCAGAATGTATGGCATTGTGACAGCAAGTAGACCGCCCATCACATGCACATATTCATACACATACTCATGAATTATTGGATCAGAAGGTTTGTCATTCAGTCAAGTGGCGTACGTTTGTACGTGACAAGGAGTGGAGTCGCCTGTCCAACCTCGTGGGGTTTTCTCCGGGTCCTCCGGTTTTCTCCCACTGCTAAAGATCCCCACGCGCAAGCAAATTATTGAAATAAAATTGAACCATGTTAGTCCCGAAATGACTTAGTTTGTGTCGAGTGGACATTAAACATCATTGAACCATCTCTGGACACAGATCACCAAATATCTCTACGAAAGTTATTTTTAGTCTTTCTCTCCCTTTCCCTTTTCCCCCTTTTGAATGGCGATCGCTGTTGACTTTTTGGTGTAGAATTGAAGAAAAGGGTTTGAAAATACATTTTCTGCCAGGTTTTAGTGAATATTCATGATTTTGAGGCGGAAGGATACAAGAGTTGAGAGGTTGGTTCGGTTGAAATGTAGGGCCGAAAATTGTTAAAAACAGTCATCCGGGTATCACCAAATAAATCATTTATAGCATCTAATGTTTCCTAGTGTTAAACCTTACTTCTTCAGCTCTAGGGAGAGCTAGAGAGAGAAATGGGTTTAACGTCCACTAGACAAACTAGGTCATTTCGGGACTAACACGTGGTTCAATTTATTTCAATAATTCACTTGCCCGTAGGGGTCTTTAGAAGTGGGAGGAAACTGGAGGAGAAAACCCACAAGGTTAGACAGGCGACCCTACTTCTTGTCACGTACAACCGGGGAATCCAAACCACGCCAGTTGACGCAATGACAGACCTTATGATACAGCGTGCACGCGCTAACCATTCGGCCATCCAACCACCCTTCCTCAGCTCTGTGGATGCTATAAATGATGGTTTTGTGTTATCAATGACTTTGTTTTTAACAACTCCTCCTACTGGGGGTCATGCGAGGATGGAGTTATCCCCTTTTGCAAAAAAACTTGTGAACGTGATAAAGGCTACAGTTTTGAACAAACTCTTTCAAATTTGGTTTGTCTTTCCATTCCGGGTTCCCTCCCTCCCCCCCCCCCCTTTTGCAGAAAAACCTTGTAATCACAGTAGGGGCTATAGGTTCAGCAGTCTGAGATTTTCTGTTCAAGAGTCATCTCCCTTTTACTGCTAATATTGTGAACGTATTAGAGGCTAGTTTTATCAGAATTGTGTAAAATTGGGTGCGAAGCACGGGGGTCATGGGAGGACAAACCCAACTGATATTCAGCACTCACCAACCTTCAGTTCCAGAGTTACAGTTTTTAGCAAAGCCTATCGACATTTGACACTCCATAACCTTTTAGACAGTTATCCACCTCCACCAAGCTTGTGAACACAACATAGGTTATTTTTCATGAAGGCACAAAGGATCCTTAACAAATGTAGTGAACACCAAGATCAAATGTAGTGAACACCAAGGCCCCTGTGTGTACACATTGTCATGCACATAAAACAACCCTTAACTTTTGAAATTCGAAATAAGAATAGGCCGTAGTGCCACTGTCCAGGCAAAATTTCCTTCAAAGTACATTGTATGGCATATGCGCGGCTTCATTATCCCAGTGGGTGCAGAACTGTAGGACTTTAAACCCCATTTCATTTCATTTCTTTTGGACACCTATAAATCAAAAAAGACAGGAACTTTAACACCAGGATCGAACCTAGGACTTTCTGATCGGTGAGAAAGTGCCATATAATGATTATATAATTAACTAAAACAACACAAATAAAGAATATTATATTTTTATTGTCAAACATTTAAAACTAAAGAAAAAAACTAAATATAAATTTGTAAGAAATAAATATACATAAATGATGATAGCAAAAAATATATCTGTGTAGATTACATTCTATAACTACATGTAAATACAAGCAAATATTATTGAATACAGCCATTGAATAACCTATGATCGTATTCAATGACTTGGACATGTACTATTTTTGTCCAGAATGACGTCACTTTCAGAATTACGTCAAACTTTAATGACGTCAACACTAGCAACCACAATTTTTGTAAAAAAAAGTAGAACCCATGATGAATTTTAACAGTATTGGTGTTTTTTGGGGGGTTTATTTTAATCTGGATAGTACAGTGTATTTTGAGATTTGCATGTAGTTATAGAATAAAAACAGAACTCAATGGCCATTGAATGCCGCTCGGGTTAGTCAATGGTTCACTCGAGTGTATCCCTGCACAGGGATACACTCAATGGTCATTGAGTTCTATCTATTTATTTTGATCATTGCTCCAAATACTTATATGGTTAAGACTATGAGTATCAAAATGGTGACCATGGCTGCAGTTAGATGCAGATTTTCGTCAAGTTCACGAGATGCAAACAGGGCTTGCGCTAGTCCTAACCCATGATCCTCGGCAACAATCACATGCCCTTAGGAGAGAGGTAATATAGGCCTAGCCTGTTGCTCAATATTTTTCTGAGAATAAAAAATTGTTTAGAAAATAAAAATCACGTGCCCTAACCCTGTTTAAATCTTGTGGCCTTGAGGAAATCAGCAGGTCGCCTTAATATTTAGTTCTGACCGCCTTTACATATCTCTGGTTCCGACTATAGACCACAACTAATTAATATGATAAGTACTATCAGAGTAACTGTAATGCCCATTAGCCACCCAGGCCACCACTAATATGATGAAGACTATAGAAGCTACCGCAATGCCCATTAGACACCCAGACCACAACTAATATGATAAAGACTATAGAAGCTACTGTAATGCCACCATTTGACACCAGACAAGTCTAAGGCACCTATATCTATTGAATAAAATCTTTTGATTAGTTGCTTTTTAATCCAATAGAATCCATTGTCAGAGATATTTTGGCGTTTTTTCCTTAAAGACACATTATGGGACATTAGATAAAGAGCTGACAGTTCTCATTATAATAGTTAAAAACTAGATAATGTAAAGGGAATTTGCTGAATATTTCAGTCAAATTAATACACACTGAACCAAGATTTTAGCGATTGAATTTTCGGCCTAGCCTCGATCATCATTACTAAAGTCGATACGATCCACTCTGAACCGAGAATTTAGCGATTGAATTTTCAGCCTAGCCTCGATCATCATTACTAAAGTCGGTACGATAAAAATCATAGTCTCGATTATCCATTTCATGATTAAATCATGAATGAAAGTTGAGCAGCAAATCGGATCCTAATCCAGTAAATATCGCAGGTTAGCTATGACATCGAGAAACTGTTCAAATAAAACCAAATGACATTAATCTTGTCTCGTAAGTCATGTAGAAGTATGTAAATACAAGGGGCAGTAACTCTAAAGAGTAAATGGATATAGAAATGACTAAATCAATATAATTAAAGCTAAAAATTTAGATAAACAATATATTTCATATTACTCAGTTCCCTCCATTATAAATACCAAACTTCAACCACAATTTGTCAATTATGTGAACTCCTTGAATAAGAGAGAGACAGGGGGAGGGTCCACTGGACCCAAACTAGGTCATTTCGGGATAAACACATGGTTCAATTTTATTTCAATAATTTGCTTGCACGTAGGGGCCTTTAGCAGTAGGAGGAAACCGGAGAAATCCGGCTCATTCACAGCAACAAGAAGGCATACAGTTTGTGCTTTTGTGCCCGTAGTACAAAAGGAAGTAGTGCGACAAGTGCCTGGTTTTGTGGGAGCAGGTCACAATTGTTTTAGTACTGGTACATACAATGGAGAGAAACACCTCTATGGTACAAACCTGCTTATAGCAAACAAAATTAAATATTCACAACCATTTAAAGGACAAAATAGACTAAAAGGTAGCCATTGTGTAGTTCGTGTATAATTCACATACAAAAATATACAAATAAATGCAATAATACAAATTATCAACTAAAGCTAGAAATGTACATCACGCATTATACAATGTACAAATAAGGGCCTGTCTTTGATGTACGCGTTTTTCGTGTAAACGCCACAAAATCGTGCATGTGGAAAACTGGCTTAACGATGAGACTGTCAGGTCAACAGGCTTAACCATGAGCCTGTCAGGTAAACAGGCTTAACGAGAAGACTCTGTCAGGTCAACAGGCTTAACGATGAGCCTGTCAGGTAAACAGGCTTAACGATGAGACTGTCCGACTGTCAGGTAAACAGGCTTAACGATGAGACTCTGTCAGGTAAACAGGCTTAACGATGAGACTCTGTCAGGTAAACAGCAAATTATAGAAGTGATTTTTTTCCATATTTTTTATTTTGAAAAAAAATCCCCTAAATTAACAAATCATTAGCTCAAAACCATTGTACTCTAAAACTTGTGCAAATTACGGACTGACAGTGTAATGTCCATATGAGTAATCTGTATTTTTCATTAATTCGAACCTTCTGCATAAATTATGCAAATTAAGTAATTTGCATATTTTTGTAAAAATATGTATTTTTGATCAAATCAAGTATTTTAGTGAAGTCTAAAGATGATTGAATTATTTTTAGCTCTTTTAGACAACAGGGTTAGGTCTAAAATTAAACAAACAATAAATCATTTTCAAAACTATCGGCGTAAACCCAATTACTTAAATTTTGATTATCAGCTCTTTGATTTATTTTTGTGAAGTTTGAACATGTTTTGAGTTATTTTTTAGCTATTTTAGACAACAGGGTTAGGTCTATTTTTAAACAAACAATAAATCATTTTTAAAAATATCTTTCGTAAACCCAATAACTTACATTTTGATTATCAGCTCTTTGATTTATTCTCTTAAGCCTGCCTCACAAACCGCTGTACGTGCTACTACGGGCAGTCTATGGAGGTAATTTTCGTAAACCTATGTGTGAGACTTACGTGTCACTTGCATGTATTCGGCATCGTAGAAAATCGCAGACTTGGTGTAGAGACTTTTGGTCCTGCACATGACAAAATTTTCACCCGGTTTTTCAGGCCCGTAACTATGGGGGGTGCAAGGGGGGCCAAGCCCCCCCCAGCAAAAGTTTTCGCCCCCCCCCCCCCACCTGTGAAAAGATTTTCGACCATAAAAAAATTGATATACATTGTCCGTCAATTTACAGCACCCTGAGAACACTTCTCGTCCCACTCGTTGCTCTGAGCTAGTTACGGCCCTGTGGTTTCTTGCGGCTGGTCTTCGAGCTACCAAACCCTACGACGCGTGCGTGGCAAAACATATACGGCGATTTGTGAGCTAGGCTTTACATCCGAAATAGACATATTTTGATTCACAAGCTGTCTAGTAATGAAATATTGCACCTCTTATAAGTATTGGCCCTGAACATTGTTTTTGTTTTTCATCCAATTAAAGAAAAAACTTTAAAAATTTTATCTCAATTTTTACAAAATATTACTAACGTCAGACAAATAAACTTCAGACAAATAATATCTTTCAATATTCAAAATATATTTTGAATGGCAGCCACAGGCTATGACAATCTTACTTTTAAAGTTTTATCTCAATTTTTACAAAATATTACTAACCTCAGACAAATAATATCTTTAAAAGTTCGAAATATATTTTTAATGGCAGCCACAGGCTTTGACAATCATACTTTTGTATTTTTTCAAGACGACGTTCGAGTTATGATCAAAGTACAACACAGAAATGGCGTTTAATTTGGTTGGAGCACAACAGGGTTTAGGAACAAGAACTGGATCCATCAAATGGACCAAAGTCTGAACAATAGCGTGGTTTGTAGCATTCATATTAGCAGCTAGAGGGAACGAACATTCACCATGACAATAAAATGCTGAATACCCATCAGGGGCAATAATCCAATCCTGAAAAATACAGAGAAAAATGTTTCAATATTTAAATTCAAGATTATTTGAATTGATCTGAATCTTTCTCGAAACTCTGATTTGGACAGATGCTGGCCTGGGTTTTATTCGTACAAATTAAGGATTTACCGAACACTTATTGGTGGTACTGGGCTTGTGTATATCATGTGCAGAGGAGGCCAAATTTCACAAAATAATCTTATTCATATCTTTGCAAATACTGATAGGAATTAAACCGTTTTTGGACCGATATTCCTTTTGGAAATGAAATGAAATGAAATGGTGTTTAACATTCTACTGTTCTACACCAACTGGGCTAATGAAGACGGACATACGTCATACAGTATGCTATGAGGGAAATTTTGCTTGGACAGCGGCACTATGACCTGCTCTTATATCGAATTCCAACTGCCAAGCAATCTTTCTCGTGGACACCAATGTGTACACAGGACCTCGGTTTTTCAGCCCATTTGAACGACACTACATTGTCCCTGGCCAGGGCTTCTGTCCTGCACCACTCTAACAAGGGAGAACCAAGCCGGAAAATCCCGATGAACTTTCTCGGCCAATGCAGGGATCAAACACACGACCTCCAGGTTAGTGTGCCACAATATGAACTTGAATTGAATTCAAAATGCCTTTAATGAGAATCAAATTAACACAAGGTACAATTTTATTGATACAATTACTGAGTTTACCAATAAGCGACGTTTCGACGCGGATACTCTCATCTTTATCAAGAAAATGATACAGACAAGAGTATCTATCCTCGACGAAATGTAGCTTAGTATTAAACTCAGTAATTGTGTATCCATAAAATTTTTAATATGTTCAATTACTAAATGTCAATCAAAGAAGACAATAAAATTCTTTCAAATATATGAACATGCATTTAACTTTCAAAATTCATTACTGATTGGATACTCATTGGTCTCCTATATGTTGATAAATATTTCAAATATAAATTTTAACCAACCTGCCATCCTAGATCTCTAAAACTAACAAAAAGTGAATGACGTTTACATGGCTTATTTTTAAATCGTAGATAAGCTGAAATAATAATAAATAACTATCTTTCATTTCTTTTATAACTATTAAATATCATTCGGCAGACTCTGGTACCCTACATCTAACCTCGGCTGTATGACGAATTCCGCCGTTGGAACTACTTTCAAGTTCTCGGATTAAAAATGGCGGCGCCCATGAAGCTAGATACACAATCTTGTCCATCATACAAATATTTCAATGTCTGAAGCTGTTTTTCTTTCAAGTTTATCAGATTTTCTTAAAACAAAGGACAACTTTGCAATGAAAACTCTACACACTCTTCAAATGAAGATATTTTGAGAACTTCTTTCTAAAAGCGGCAAGTTTCCCTAATAAGTAAACAGGTAGCCGGATCACAATTGTATGGGTGTAGCTACATATCACTTACCGTCGTACTGCCGAGGTTAGAAGTAGGGTACCGGAGACTTCCAAGGTTTGACGAATGTATTAAATACATGTAGATTAAAGATTTGTCCATGAAATGTGAATTGAAAAGCCCATAATCAACTCTCTCGACAATCATGACATGGTCAATGAATTCAAACATGATCGCAATTTCAAAATAGATAATAAAGAATGAGTTGAGACTACGCTATAAACAGTCATAACTTTGCTCAGAATGAAAAGATTTGACCGAAATTTTCAAAATATTCATTTTTCATTATCTATTTTAAACTATTATAGTGAGAACTGTCAACTCTTTATCTTAGTCTAAAATGATGTATCTTTAAAAGCTAAATTTTGGACTTAAAAGTTAAGAATTTACTCAACTTTCAATCACTGTTTTTAAGAAATATCTTTGATCCAGAAACACAAAACTTTGAACACAGTTTCTTATTGATGTATTTGATACATTAAAACAACACAAGTTTTATAAAGGGCTATATTCTACTTAAAATAAAACAAACAATTTGAGTAAATTCTTAACTTAAATCTGAGAATGCTTTGCGAACTTGGGGCCAGGTCATTAAACTGTGGGATGAGACCATTAGTTGAACTATAGAATATTTAACGACTGGACACAAATGACTTCTGTGTAGCAAAAGCTCATGTACACGATTATGCCGAGGGGTATATCGTGCCAGGGCGACAATGAAATGGAGAGAGAAAGAGAGAAATGGGGTTTAACGTCCACTCGACACAAACTAGGTCATTTCGGGACTAACACATTTCAATAATTTGCTTTCGCGTAGGGGTCTTTAGCAATGAGAGGAAACGGGAGGACCCGGAGAAAACCCACGAGGTTGGACAGGCAACCCTACTTCTTGTCACGTACAACCAGGGATTCGAAACCACACAATGACAGACCTTATGATACAAAGCGCACATGCTAACCATTTAGCCATTCAACACCCCTTTATTAATATAACAATGGCTAATATACCATATGTACTTACAGTTACTACTGTAGGGATTATAAGGATCATCGCCATACGCCATTTCTACATGACTAACTTCTGGTGCCCGTCTGTTGCTGGTTGATCTCGTTCTACGACTCAATACTTCGTTAGTCATCTTAAAATAACCCACCATAAATGGCTGTTTGTCAGTTGGCCCTTTCTTGGTTATAATACCAACTTTCTTAGGATCGACATCATGTCCTGGAATTAAAACAAATACCCTTTTTAGACAGAAAGAGCGAGAGAGAGAGAAATTTGGTTTAACGTTCACTCAACACAAACTAGGTCCTTTCGGGACTAGCACATGGTTCAATCTTTATTTCAATAATTCGCTTGCGCATAGGGGTCTTTAACAGTAGGAGGAAACCCGAGGAACCAGAGAAAACCCAAGAGATTGGACAGGCGATCCTTCTCCTTGTCACGTACAACAGGGGAATCGAAACGACGCCAGTTGACTCAATGACAGACCTTATGAAACTGCGTGCGCGTGCTAACCATTCGGCCATCCACCCCCCCCCCCCCGATTCAATGACAGACCTTATGATAAAGCCTACATGTGCTAAGTATTCGGCCATCCAACCCCCCACAGAAAGAGGGAGGGGTCACGTATCTACTTTTGTCACTAATTTGCTAGCGCGTAGGGGTCTTTTGGAGAAATGGGGAAAACCCAGAGAAAAACCATGAGGTTGGACATGCAACCCTACAGCTTGTCATGTACATGTACTAGTGATGAATTCAAACCACACACCACTCAATATGACAGACCTTATGATCTAAAGGACATATGTTAGACCACACGACCACCCAAACTTCCACTTTTTTAAATCGATCGTAATAAAATATATAAATTTCTAAACTTACTTTTGTCCAATACAATAGAGAGGGAGAGAGAGAGAGAGAAATGGGGTTTAACGTCCACTCGACACAAACTAGGTCATTTCGGGACTAACATATGGTATAATTTTATTAAAATAATTCGCTTGTGCGTAGGGGTCTTTAGCAGTGGGAGGAAACCAAAGGACCCGGATAGAACCCACGAGGTTGGACAGGCGACCCTACTTGTCCAATACAAACCTGATAAAAATTTTCTATATAAAAAGAATCAAAGATGTATGTATATTTATTCGCCCATCACGATCCTTCGCCACGATCCACCTCCATATGTTGTATCAAATTAACTAGCAAGCCCCCTTGAATGTTTTAAGCCATAATTTATGAAGGTAAAGATTATTTATTAGTATAACATAGGCACAAATCTGTGCCTGCAGTCAAACTGTTTTTACTGCAATTAACAGTTAACGGGAGGTAACTCTGTTTATTATGGTAATTAAGTTTAATAATAGTAACAAATGATGTAAGCTAGCGGGGGAGCGTGCAAAACAAGAATATGCTGAGTAAGCAGATCTGGGGCCACGGGCAAAGCTGGGTATCGAGGTAGCATCCAATAATTGTTTGGATTTTTACTTAAATGTCTTCTATTATAAACTCAATTTACCTTTTTCATCTCGTATTTTCATGTAAAGACCAAGATTAGTTTCTGGGAAATTTGTCCATTTCTCTGCTGCTCCTGTAACATTCAGTCCAAACCATCCAGTAAAGTCTGGTGCTACTGTTACATTTACTTCTGAGGATAATCTCTTGTCTCTAGTAAAATATATTTAAATAGATAATTAACACAGAAGTATCATTACACAACTGAAGTAGAATTGGGTGGGATTCATGTTTGTTGCATTCCCTGTCCGTTATTGATCAAAATCTTATGGGTGGATGGGGTAGGGGATGTTCTTTGCTGGTTGTTAAAAATTGGGTGGGATTCATGGTTGTTGCTTTTCCTGTCCGTTATTGATCAAAATCTTATGGGTGGATGGGGTAGGGGATGTTCTTTGCTGGTTGTTAAAAAGTGGGTGGGATTCATGGTTGTTGCTTTCCCTGTCCGTTATGGATCAAAATCTTATGGGTGGATGGGGTAGGGGATGTTCTTTGCTGGTTGTTAAAAATTGGGTGGGATTCATGGTTGTTGCTTTCCCTGTCCGTTATTGATCAAAATCTTATGGGTGGATGGGGTAGGGGATGTTCTTTGCTGGTTGTTAAAAATTGGGTGGGATTCATGGTTGTTGCTTTCCCTGTCCGTTATTGATCAAAATCTTATGGGTGGATGGAATAGGGAATGTTCTTTGCTGGTTGTTAAAAATTGGGTGGGATTCATGGTTGTTGCTTTTCCTGTCCGTTATTGATCAAAATCTTATGGGTGGATGGGGTAGGGGATGATCTTTGCTGGTTGTTAAAAAGGTGATTTTTGATAGGAAGTGTTTTGATTACTGTCTCATATGACATGTTCAAATTAAATTGCATGCAAAATCTGAGACAAAGTTTCAGACACAGGCGTAGCTTTTCAACTCCAGATCAAATAACAGGCACAGAAGTCATTTACAGTATACCTCCCTTACCAAACTACATACATAAGGCATTTTAATCGACTTACCAAATTGCTTTGAATTTAGTGGAGATGTCATGTGAGATTATAGTCAAATTATAGTTGAATTTAGTGGAGATGTCATGTGAGACTATAGTCCATTTCAAAGCACTTTGACAAGATCATGGGGGGTTGGATGGCTGAATGGTTAGCGTGCGCACGCTCTATCATAAAGTCTGTCATTGAGTCGACTGACGTGGTTGTACGTGGCAAGGAGTAGGGTCGTCTGTCCAACCTCGTGGGTTTTCTCCGGGTCCTCCGGTTTCCTCCCACTGCTAAAGACCCCTACGCGCAAGCGAATTATGTAAATAAAATTAAACCATATGTTAGTCCTGAAATGACCTAGTTTGTGTCAAGTGGACGTTAAACCCCATTTCTCTCTCGCTCTCTTGACAAGATCATTAAATGCGCTGATTAGCTGTAAACAATTCTTGTGGCTGGACATAGTTGAAAAAATCATGTGATCACCTGATGAAATCAACAAATCACACCTCGATTAGGGTAATCGATTTGAATTACCCAGTAGGTGGACGTTAGAGATGCAAATTTGCTTGAATCTAACTCACTAATCATTGGTCGATAAAAATGCCTATAATATTTAAGGACTACATATATATGACAACTATTTTCCTAGATTTCAAGATTTCGTAATACATGAATCAAGGATCAGAAGTTAAAACTATTGACCCGGTGTAGAAAGAAATAGAGAGACAGAAATGGGGTTTAACATCCACTCGACACAAACTAGGTCATTTCAGGATAACACATGGTTCAATTTTATTTCAACAATTCACTTGCACATAGGGGTCTTTAGCAGTGGGAGGAAACCGGAGGACCCGGAGAAAACCCATTAGGTTGGACAAGCGACCCTACTCCTTGCCACTTACAACCAGGGAATCAAAACCACACCAGTTGACTCAATGATAGACCTTATGATACAGCTCTCACGTGCTAACCATTCGTCCATCCAACCCCCAGTCGTTTCATCTTATATGGCCGAGTTCTTAAATTTGTGCGCTACCCTTTCAATGATGTCCGCCAAGTCGGTTAGAAGACGGAGACGTATTTTTTAACAGCATGTTGTGTCGCTCATACTGACTCTAGCGAGGTAAGCAAGGTCTTATTTTCTCACTAAGATGTTCCTTTACATTGTACAGGCGTTCACTTGGATTGACACCCCACCGTTTAGCAGTAAAAAGTTGCCCAGTAAAATTGACTGGGAAACCAATTCCTGTCGACAAGGACTCAATTGAAGGGTCCCTGGACGTAGAGGCGAGTGTAATGAGACCTACGTTCAGAGCTGGACTATCCAACCCCCAGTCGATGAAGAGAGAAATACTAGTACAAGTATATGTAATATTATTCCAAAATGAAAACCTACTCTAAATCATTTCCTTGTTGAATCATAAACAACTCAATTTCAAGTCTGCCATTTTTTTTGCTAGTCTCTCTATAAAGACGTAACTCTGCTCCAGATACACCTTCTTCAGGTGATACTTCACTAAAATCAAAGAAGAAGATTCGATCTCGCTCGTGTCGTAGATAAGGTACTTTTCCAGCTGAAAAGAAACATAATCATTATTAAATAATGGTGACAGGTAATCATTATTAAATACTGGTGAAAGGTAAATTAAATAATGGTGACAGGTAATCATTATTATATAATGGTGACAGGTAATCATTATTAAATAATGGTGAAAGGTAAATTATATGTAGATCAACCATTCAAACCCCAAAACTTATTTCTATCTGAAAATATGCTTTTTTGAACCACCGGGAAATATAAAACCTAGTATAAAACAGTATATAGTAAACCTCAATGACAGCCCCAACATAATTCCTGCATGCTGTTTGAAATGGTTTGAAATAATAATCATTATTAAATAATGGTGACAGGTAATCATTATTAAATAATAGTGGAAGATAATCATTATTAAATAATGGTGAAAGGTAATCACTATTAAATAATGGTGAAAGGTAATCATTATTAAATAATGGTGACAGGTAATCATTATTAAATACTGGTGAAAGGTAAATTAAATAATGGTGACAGGTAATCATTATTAAATAATGGTGACAGGTAATCATTATTAAATAATGGTGACAGGTAATCATTATTAAATAATGGTGAAAGGTAATCATTATTAAATAATGGTGACAGGTAATCATTATTAAATAATAGTGGAAGGTAATCATTATTAAATAATGGTGAAAGGTAATCACTATTAAATAATGGTGAAAGGTAATCATTATTAAATAATGGTGACAGGTAATCATTATTAAATACTGGTGAAAGGTAAATTAAATAATGGTGACAGGTAATCATTATTAAATAATGGTGACAGGTAATCATTATTAAATAATGGTGGAAGGTAATCATTATTAAATAATGGTGAAAGGTAATCACTATTAAATAATGGTGAAAGGTAATCACTATTAAATAATGGTGAAAGGTAAATTATATGTAGATCAACCATTCAAACCCCAAAACTTATTTCTATCTGAAAATATGCTTTTTTGAACCACCGGGAAATATAAAACCTAGTATAAAACAGTATATAGTAAACCTCAATGACAGCCCCAACATAATTCCTGCATGCTGTTTGAAATGGTGAATGTTTTACAAAAACAAAAGAGTGTATCTATAAAATCCAAATTGCAGTTACTTTGGTAGTTTAAGATATATAACTTAACACATAGTAGCGTCATAACTAGTACTACCATAACAAACGAACAACAACTCCTTTATACATGTATCTGACCATTGTTGAAATCCTGGATAGCAAGCAACACAAACAATATTAAACAACATCTAGTACTACTATAATGAACATTCAGCAACAACTCTTTTATACCTGACCATCAACATAGCAAGCAACACACGAAACACATTCAGCAACAACTCCTTTATACCGGACCATAAACATAGCAGTTACATGTAACACAAACATTCAACAACCACTCCTTTATACCTGACCATAAACATAGCAGTTACATGTAACACAAACATTCAACAACCACTCCTTTATACCTGACCATAAACATAGCAGTTACATGTAACACAAACATTCAACAACAACTATAACTACTATAACAAACAAAACAACTATTCTATAATAACTGTCGACATGATCCCCTGCTGGATTTTAGGATGGTCAAGAGCATAACAATGTCCGGCCATGTTAGAATCTAGGATGGTCAAGAGCATAACAATGTCCGGCCCATGTTGGATTTTAGGAAAGTCAAAAGCATAACAATGTCCGCCCATGTTGGATTTTAGAAAAGTCAAAAGCAAAACAATGTCTGCCTATTTTGGATTTTAGGACGGTGAAAAGCATAACAATGTCCGGCCCATGTTGGATTTTAGGAAAGTCAAAAGCATAACAATGTCCGCCCATGTTGGATTTTAGGATGGTTTTAAGCATTATTTTTGTGAACATCCTGGACAGCAAGCAATCAACACACAAACAACAAATAATACAATGAACATGACAACAACAACATCTCCTCTATACCTGACCGTCGACATATCCCAGAAACTCTTCGTAACCTTCGATACCGCCTTTTCGAACATCGTAACTTTCTACGACGTCTGTCTATAACATACAAAAATAGTCAACATTTTAAAATATATCACAAATATATTTGATGTCAAAAATATATGACAAATATATTACAATATATTATTTGATGTCAAAAATAAAATGTATCATGCAAGCATATGGTAATACAGAGAGAAAGAGAGGGTTAAAGTCCACTCGACACAAACTAGGTCATTTCGGGACTAACACATGGTTCAATTTTATTTCACTAATTTGTTTGCGCCTAGGGGTCTTTAGCAGTTAGAAGAAACCAGAGGACCGGGAGAAAACCCACAGGGTTGGGCAGGCGACTCTACGCCTTATCATGTACAGGCGGAAATCGAAACCACGCAACTTGACTCAATGACAGACCTTATGAAGCAACTTGCATGCATTAACCATTTGGCCACCCAACCCCCCAGACAAAACAAGAAAAACATACTGCTGTTAAATGTCTCCATGCATCATTTAAAGCAGTTGGTATTTTGATAACATTTTCTTAAAGGGGCATTATGTAAGATTTTGATAAATAACTGGTCGTTCTCACTATAACATTTCAAAAATAGATAATGCAAAATGAATATTTTGAAAATTTCATTCAAATTACTTTATTTTGAGCAAATCAAATATGTGTAAAATTTCATTCATATTACTTTATTTGGAGCAAAGTTATCAATGGTTATAGTTTTGACAAGACTTGTGCATTGATTGTAACCTCTATTTTTAAATTACATCATTAAATGGCCGAACTGTTCTAATCTACTTAAAATCAGTGCCATCTGATGGTATCGATAGGGGAATATGTTCTTGTCATGTTAATAAATGTCTAATTAATAATTTGTATTACATTTAAGCCCCAAAGGAAGACCAGCAATAGGCAGATTTAGCTCTTGCATAATGTATGTTTAATTAAATGTTAAATAATCAATCGGACTACATATAAGCATTTATTAAACATACATTATGCAAGAGCTAAATCTGCCTATTGCAGGTCTTTCTTTAGGCCTGAAATGTTATCTAAATTATTAATTAGACATTAATTAACTTATCTTGACCATAATCAACTCTCGATGTCAACGCTAGCCTGTAATATTTACTGGATTATAATCTGATCTGCTGCTCAATGCTCATTCATGATTAAATCCAAAAATGGATAATAAAGACTATGTTTTTTATTGTACCAACTTTAGTAATGATAATCGAGGCTAGGCCCAAAATTCAATCACTAAATTCTCGGTTCAGAGTGGATCAATTTGACAGAAATTTTCAGCAAATTCCCTTTTACATTATCTAGTTTTTAACTATTATAGTGAGAATTGTCAGTTCCTTATCTAATGTCTCATAATGTATCTTTAAGCTTTGCGAAATTTGATATTTTAGCGAAAAATTGCAAAGGGCGTATTGTTACTTTAAGAAATGTAAATATATCGGTAGACAATGAAGGTGGGTATGTTAAGAGTTATATGAATGTTAAACTGCCAACATCTGTATGTCTGCTTCTAACAAATATAGTCGGGCCCAGCATCTGTTCTCCAGTAACAAACAAAACATATTTCATTGGTTCTTGTTTTTAACATATGGTTTATAATAGCCCATGTAGATCAGTACACTGCAGGGATAATGGCTTTCAATCTCTCTCTCTCTCTTTCGATCGACAATCTGGGTTTTTTTTTTACACACTTATTCAAATTTATCCTGAATGACTTGAATTTAGTTTATATGTACGTGTATTTATATTTTGAGATTACCCACAAAAGTCTAACTAAAGGAATAGGCATAAGCATATGGGCTGATTTTCCTTGGTGGGGGATGTATCATTTTTGCTCGAAATATGAATCTACGTAATCTTATCAGATATCAGCCAATCACAAAATCACAAAACAACTGTAGTAAAATCTTGAAAAATAACGGCAAGCAGCACCTGGAAATGCAGATTGATTTCGAGAATCAAAATCAGAATCATGAGTTTTTTCTGAAACTCTGAACTTCGGTTGGCAATTGCATCACCCCACACGATTTACAGTAAGAGTCTTGGATTTCGGGCACTTCATTTCGCAGGATGGAATAATTTTCATATTTTTTCTTTTATATCCAGTAACATTTGACTTTTTGCATCATTTGGCCACTGCCTGAAAAATCTGATTGCCCGAAAAAAATTGTCTTGCCCAATTCCTGGGAGGCTACAGTGTGCTGCGAAATTTTGAATGGCACATTAAGAAAATGCGAAAAACCACATGATCCCAATTGAGTATTCATTGGTGTCTACTGATCAGTTCATAGATGTGTTTTTCTTTATTTAGTTTTAAGTCATTCTATGTGTCTATGACTAGTCTCTGTCTACGGTTCCATCTTCATTAGCCCAGTATAGGAGCAGACTTGCCATGTTTTTATTTTGCAAAATTCAAATATTTTACATATATATTTAACCAAGTGTGCCACTATTTTTTCATGTGTTCCGAGGCAAAAAAAGGTAGCGAACCACTGGCATATGGGAACAGGAAATAAAAGTCTTAACATCCTACTTATCTGCACACCACTCTCTTTATTAAAGTATTCACATACATACCAGACATTAGACAAGCACCTGCGGGTATTATTGTAATATCTATATATACCACCTACCTACATATATGTAATGATATTATAAACTATTATATATACTCGTAGATACAATGGAATAGAGGTGGAAACAGGTGTATAATACCTCCACGTTGATTGACTGACTGTTGTCTAACTTTAGGAATGACTTCTGACTACCTTTAGGGTTAATTGACTGACTGAATGACTGTCTAATATCTTTATGATTCAATGGCTGAATGACTGTCTACAAAATAGGAATGAATGTCTACTATCATTTGGAATGACTGTCTACTGCCTTTAGGGTAGATTGACTGGCTGTTGTCTAACTTTAGAAATTACTTTTGACTACCTTTAGGGTTAATTGACTGAATGACTGTCTAATATCTTTATTATTGGATCACTGAATGACTGTCTACAAACTTTTGGAACGAATGTCTACTATCATTCGGAATGACTGGCTATTACATGTACCTTTAGGATTAACTGCATGACTGTCTACTGCCTTTAAGAATGACCGAATGACTGGCTATATGTACTGTGTTTAGTTCAAAATTTCAAAACTTAAAAAATTTGGACCTAAAAGCTTTTGAACAGTGCAACCAAGTAGTTTGAGTTTTTAAAATAGTCTTTTTCTCACAGAAATATGAAGACCAGCGGTCGCCAGGCAAGATACACCAACATTTTGCAAGAAATGGATAGAGAACAAGTTAAAAACAAAAGCAATTTTTCGTACAAGCAGATGCCACAATCCAGAAAGTTATGGTCTGAAATGAGCAAATATCAAAAGGGACTGAGATCTTTGGGATATAAAGATATTTTAAGTTTCATCAAAATCGGATAAAAACAGTGACCTGTATAGAGTCCACAACCTTCATATTACATACTTTTACACAATTTGCGTACAAAGAGCGGCCATTTTGTCGGCGGGTTCGTTTCAATTTTTTTCCGAAATTCGAATTCAACCTTAATGCGGTGGAATGGTGATATATATTTAAACAGTTTTTAAAATAAAAATTGTGACCTCTAGAGAATCCACAAGCTAAAAAACATGATTTTTCGTACAATCAGGGGCCATAATCCAGGAAGTTATTATCAAGAGAAAGCAAGATCTTTGTGATATAAACATACATTTCAAGTTTTATCAAAATCGAATAAAAATTGTGACTTCTAGAGGGTCTACAACCTTGGTTTTACATACTTTTAGACTATTAGCGTACAAGGAGCTGCCATTTTGTCCGGCAGTTTCTGTTGGGTTTTTATGAAATTTCAACTCAACCTTCACTCAGGTGTAACGGTGATATATTTAAATGGTTTATAAAATTGAATACAAATTGTGACTTCTTGAGGGTCCACAAGCTAAAAATGTTATTTTTCAAACAATTTGGGGCCATAATCAAGGAAGTTACGTTCTGATATGCATGATGATCGAGATGATCCAAGATCTTTGTGATATAAACATACATTTCAAGTTTCATCAAAATCGTATAAAAACTTGTGACTTCGAGAGGGTCCACAACCTCAAGGTATTACATACTTTTCTTTTAGACTATTTGCATACAAGAAGCGGCCATTTTGTCAGTTTCGATCTGATTTTCAAGAAATTCGAACTTAACCCTTCTTATGGCGTAACAGTGATATATTTAAACGATTTTTTAAATCAGATAAAAATTGTGGCTTGTGGAGGGACCACAAGCTAAAAATGTGATTTTTCGTAAAATCAGGGGCCATAATCGAGGAAGTTAAAGTCCGATATGCGCGAATATCGAAAGGAACCGAGATCTTTGGGGTATAAACATACATTTCAAGTTTCTTCAAAATCGGTTAACAATTGTGACCTCTAAGAGTGTCCACAAGCTATAAACATGATCTTTCGTACAATCAGGGGCCATAATCCATGAAGTTACAGTCCGATAAATGCCAATTTCGAAAGGAACCGAGATCTTTGCGAGATACACCTATATTTCAACTTAAGTCAAAATCAGATAAAAATTGTGACCTGTAGAGTGTCCACAAACAAATTGTGAACAGACACACGGACCATGGCGACAACAATATACGTCCACATGAAAATGTGGGCGTATAAAAAATCTTAACGGGTATTCCCAAATAACAGAAAATCAAATTGATGTGACCGTACGTGTATACACATACAATTAGTTATCATCAGAAGCATACATGTATCGAATTAAATTCAATAAAAATGAAAAGGCTAAACAGTTAAAAAAAAAGCAGCATATTTCATACATAAAATGAAATGTGATTTACTATTTTAGTGTTCTACACCAACCAGACTAATGAAGTATACAGGTCACAGTTCCATGGAATACAATTACTGCTTATATTATTACTGAGCGACGTTTCGACTAGGCTTCTCTAGTCATCATGAAACAATTTATCAGACTAATGAAGATGGTACTGTAAATTTAATAGAGAGT